AACAGGATGCTACAAAAAAAAGTCTAAAATAAAAGTAATGATATTTTCCTGTGCAAAATATACCAATTAAAAAAGAAAAAAAAGAGGAGTTGAGTGAAATGATGTTCTGAATGAAGCCTTGTTCTCAGGGCTGTAATGTCAGAAAGCTTTGCAGAGACTGGGTGTGCTGGGCCATGACTAGTTTGAGCTGACTGGAGGGGAAGGTTCAGCCTGTGTCCCGGGGTGTATCGAGGCACAATCCAAATGCAGACATGGAGATCTTTACTCCTGTCTCAGACCTCCTACTCTGCCTTGGACACCAGCTCATGAGCTCTGGAGCCTTTCACTTTTTATTTGTTGATTGATTGTTAGATTTTATTTTTTTTTTTCTTGATTTGCTAGATTCAGCAATATTGCAATGGTTATAGATGAAATGGGGCTCTGCAAGGGGATGCACAATGTGATTATGGGGTATGTTGCATAGACTTTCATGCTATGGTACAGTGCATACAAGCTCTTTTTACAGCTGTGTTCCTGCTTGGTGCAAATACCTTGACCCTGCAATGCTCAGAATCTTGTTTGTGGAACATCCTGCTTGCACAATGTTCAGATTAAGACAGTTGTAAGACAACTTATGAATTTGGCAAAGAGACCAAGAAGCAGCTACAGTGGCTGGTAGAAAATTTAAATTGTGAGATTAATTAAGAGGCAATTTAAGCAGCTTCTGCTGCTGAGCTGAGTTTTGGAAGTTGTTACTTCAATATTCCTTCTAAAAACCTGTTGATGTCTTGCTGTTTGTTTTACAGAGGCGTTTTGTTGTTTTCCTCCTGGTGGCACTGCAGGATAACACTGTGGTCCTTGGGGCCCTGTACTGCAACTGCATCATTTAAGATGCTGGGATATCTTCTTGGTGACATAACATGTTCTGTTATGCTTCACTTGAGGACCAGTACAACAGCCTTACTCCATGATAACCTATAACTTATTTGGTGGGACCTATGTTGGATGATTTTCTCCTCTTAAGAAGGAAAGAGCTTCAACCAGCTTATGAACTGTAAACAGATCAGCCACATCACTGAGAGTGTAAAAAAATTCTCAAAAAAAGCCTGACATGTGGCTGCTAAATTCTCAACAACTCTGCTCAAAGGATAGTTTTCACTCAGACACATTGACTTGTATCCTCTATAATGTCCAGCAAGTACAGTGACTTTTGATTGACTATATGGAAATTAATGATAATATGGACTTTTGATTGACTGTATGATTATACAGGGAAAAAGAACAGAAGGTTTCTACTTGGAAACATGATTGTTCCCTTCAGGCAGAACATGATGCTGCCTCCAGCACTGCCCTCATCAGTATACTTTCCAGTTATTACAAATACTGTGTATTTTGGCAGCCTTTGCCTCAAGTCACTTATGATCTGTTCAGTTACGTGGTATGCAGACTAAAAACATCCAGTCATAGTTCTCTGAGGGACCTTGAAATGAAACTATTAATCTTCAAACCCAGATTTTATATGTGAATCTCATCATGTGTTAATTAATTTGAAAATACTGCCTCTCTGGTCAGCAGAAATAAATCTTACCTATTAATTTACAATGTAGTTAAAACTGATAGTTTCTATCCTTTGAGAAAACATGATGCACTAGGGAGTTGCCCTGAATGAAGTAAGAACTAGCTTAAATTGACAATTATGTCATGAATGTAATTCAGAAGAATTACTAGCTATTTGCTTTCCATGGAAAAATCTGTCCCCAGCTTCAATCCCCACACCCATGCTTGTGTGCTTGCCGGCCCCAGGCACACCAGGGGCAGCAGGCAGCAACCAGGCCACAAAGTCCCTAAAATCCTTCTCTGAATTCATGCTCTCCAGTGCTGAGCACCTCTCTCCCCTGCTGCCCCTCTTCCCAACCCCTGCTACTGAAGGCACATCCTGGGGGTCTTTTTGATTTGTTGATCATTTATTTACTGCTCTGGCACGTTTTTTTAAGTGTCCTGAAAGCTTTAAGCTGCTGAGACAGGAGCACCAGTCAAAACAATTCCAGCAGCATTTGGGATTAGCTGAGTTATTTTAAAACTAATCCAAAACTCTTTGGGGGTTTTACTCACATGTTGAGCTTGTACTTGCCAGATTTATTATTGTCAAAGCACTTATTGACCACTCCTTTTAAAATAAGAAATGGTTTCTTTGTGTTCCAGGGTTAGCCGTGCCAGATGTTGGTGATTCCTTTTGCCAAACCAATAAAATGCAAAAAATTTCCCTTCTCCCTCCCTGTCCATGTGTAGGGAGGTTACAGCTGCTAAAAGCAGGGATTGTGGGACAATGGGCTCTCCTTCTTTTGTCTTACAAGTTGCTCTAAAACAGGCTTTACATACACTAGAATACCAAAATAGAAAACTTTTTATGGATTATGTTTTAGATCCTTACCCACTTGGCTGATTTTTTACATATTCCTGGTTAGGAAAAAAAGTCACACTTCAGTAGCATTTGGCTCAAAATTTGAGTTTCACTTATCCCTGAAGCTTAGGACTGAATTTGTCTCATAAAAAGATATAATAATAGTCCTGGGAGTAAAGACCCTTATATTTAAGGCAGTCTCAAGCAAAAAAATCTAGCAACCAAATACAATTTATAATTCATATTTCTTTGTCTATCTACCAAGCATGGTAGCTGAGATGTCTGCTTACGTTTGCCTGTGGAGTTTCAAAACTTTGATCTGCTGCAGATTGGCTTCAGCAGCACCTGGAAGAGTTCTACAACTGGGAAGATAAAAGGTCAGCCTAGGGAGACAAAAATGATTTTAAAGAATGAATGATAAGAAGCTGCAGGAGGAATAACAGTAATGTCTAAGACCTCAGTGCTGAACGTACAGTTCATTCGTTATCAAAAAAATCTCTCTGCTTGCTGGTAGAGCTGGGGTGTCCCTGGCCACACACCTGCCCATGAATGCTTTGGCCCTTTCACTGAGGAGTGGTGGAGAAGGAGGAATTATTTGTTCTGTTAATAAAAAAGAATCATCAGGTTACCTGTGAGAACATGCTTGTAACTGTGCTGTGATGCCCTTGCAAGCTTTGGGAAGGGTGTTCTATATGTACAAATGGTATCAAAAGAGCTCAGGAAGCAACCCAGGATGTGTGGGAATGTGGCACTAAACCTACACTGTCCATAAAATGTTTCTTTACAAATGTGGATATTGGCCTCAGCTGTGCTATCAATAGCATAATTTTTAATTAATCTTTTTATTCTTCTTTATTTTTCTTTTTTTTCCATTTTTCCCTTCAAGGAATGCCTTTGATGGCAACTTCCAAATGAGGAAAGATTAATCAGTTAATCAGTTTTCCAAGGATGTTCAAAACTGAAGTGCAGGAAATGTTGCATGTCTTCCATCAATTTAGGGTAACAGAGAGGAAATTTGAAGATGTAAAAGCAACAGAAGTGTGCAGACAGCAGGATGGGCAATGCAGATGGAGTGTTATCAATGTCTGAATGAGTCCTAGGGACAGACAGTGAGTGAACTGGGTTAAGGCAAAAGATGAATTCTGTTTGATAGTTGTGAACAAGAGACTGGTAGAGCTTCTCAAAGTGAAAAGCTGCTGCTGGTCTGTGAGTGCATGCTCATATGCTGAGCAAATGGAATACTATTTTACTGTTAATCTTCTGAGTCTATCTGAACTCTTAGAATCAAGGACGTCAGAAAAAGAATTTATCTTATAACGATCAGTTCTATAGGAAAGTCTATTATTCATTACTCTTAGCTTTTATGGTTTACAGCATTTGGCCTGGTCTAGCAGAAGATTTAATGATTTAAGGATTAAACTATTCTTGCCTTTAAAATTTGCCCTTGACAAAAATAAAGGGTTTGTTTGCCAGTGAAAACTGTAATGCTCTCAGCAATGATGTATGATTTTACACTAGTTGGGAATAAAACGGTGGATGTTTGGCAAGCAGGGCCCTCTCCTGGTTTGTTGCCCCATGACACCCTTGGGAAGGCAGAGTTGGTGAGGAGACATGGGAGCCAGTGCTGCCAGTCACTGCTGATACAGATTTGAAGAGTCTTTTCAGGAGGGACTTATGTGCTTTTCTATAGTTTACTAAATAGCAGAGCATACATTCAGAGTTTGTAGTCTGTTTTGTTCATTCAGTGTTTGTGCATTCAGAGTTTGGAGTCTTTCTTTTCTTCAGAAAGACCTGAACAAAAAAGGATGCTCATTTCAGGATATTCTGATTTGAACAGCATACAACTCTTAAAACAATCTTATAGCCTCCACTTTTCCCTCTTTGTTGCAAAAGATTTAGTCAACTCTAGATGAAAGTGGAAAATAAAGCAGTGGTCTTTTGTATAGCATTGATTTAATGGCATTAAAACGAGTCCTTGTATGCATATTAAAAAGTAACTGCTTGTTTTATAACCTTGTTAAGTAACAAATGATGTCACTATTTGTACTTACTAAAACTTGTCAGCTTTACCAGAAAGGTTTTCACTAAACACTAGAGAAGATATTGCAAACCCATAACCTACATCTTCATATTTATTCCCAAAATCATTATCCCCAGTATTTCTTAGACAGATGTTTATCTTTGTCTGGAGATCTGGAGCTGAACAGTTAATCCCATCTCCCAAGCAACTGCCCAAGCACACAAGATTAGAACAGATTTGAAAGATCTTGCAGATTCTTACTATCTCTTGTAATTCCAGTGGGCTTTGCTGCTGTGAGTTTCCAGGTCCAGCTAAATGTAAAATGTTCCTGGTAGGATTAAGGGGATCTTTGTAGTATGCATAGTACAAGGCAATATCTTTCAGTTTTACTCTTCCATGTCATGCAGAAATTAATTTTGCCCTTGGAGGTTTTTTGAGTGTTCATCATGTTATTATGATAAAATTATTATCATAATTTTAGTTCTGAGTATAAGAATAGGATGTTTTCTGGGGCTGCTCTCAATTTTTTTCATTTCTAACATGAAACTTATTTTAAAAGGCCATATTTTTGGGAAAAAAATTAAAAACTTTAAACTCTACTCCAAGCACAGCTTTCCACAGAATTAGGTTTTGCATCCTATTTGCTGCAAAAGAGTTAATTTTGTAAAGTACATCCTGTCATTTATTTTCAAATTGTGCAAGAAATTGTTTGAGCATATCAAGAGTTGTTGATACTGCCTGTGTAGATTCTGTTCTTTTGTTCACAAAGAAATAATGATGCTTGACTCTTTATCAGGTATTACTTCCAATTTTAATAATTTTCAGTTTTAACAAAGTGCTCATATAGGGTTATGGCTATAAGTAGAAAGGATGTAAATAAACATTAATATCTTTCAGTGCTTTTCCCTTTTTTAGTTAGTAGCATATATTAAAGTATTAGAGTGAAATAATTTTTTTTTCTTTTTAACCCAGAGGCCCTGAGAAATTGAAATGTACTGACTGCCCTAAAGGACATGAAGAACCCTGTTTTTAAAGTAATTCTAAATGAAGGTCCAACCTTTTTAATTGAAACTATTATGTTGATGTTAATCCAAGTTTGCTTTAATAATGGACATAATAATAATGGACATAATAACAATAATAATGGACAAAACCCCTCTCTAATTACCTATACCTTTACATTCCAAAGAAGAACTCTAATCAATGGAAATCTTTATTTAGGTCTCTAAAAGCTGTATTAAGAGTGCTGATTTCAGGAACCACTTACTATTGTTTAAAACTAGAGCATATTTTATTCTTCTATGAGACTAAGAGACCTTTGTAATTAGAAACTAAGTGTAAGCACTTCTGACATTTTAATCCTAAAAATAGAACCTCATTATTCCCATGTGAAATAGTATCAGTTTATTGTAAATTTGCAGGGAAAATGCATCTCCCTGTGTTTGTGTGTGTGTGTATGTGTGACTTCAAGTTATTGCTATGGTGTTGCAGTTAACATACATTGTACAGGAACCTGGTTAATGTGCAGACACTAGTGGGGAAAACAATAAAGTACAGCAGTAATAATTTCAAGCTAACACATCATTTTGGATTCTTCTCAGTCAGTTTTCCTCAGTACACATGAACTTCCAGCTTCAAAAGTTCCCAACAGAAGTCATTTCTAGAATAAATAAGAAATTGTTTACTTTTCCTGAAAAGTTTTGAAAAGCATGTTTTCAGTTCCATTAAATTTTCCTGTAGTGAAAGTTGAAATAGAGCATTTAATGCAAGTCATTTGGGATGAGTTATATGGCATTTGTAAAGGCAGTTATACACTTGATAAGAAACCTCTCTGAAGGCCATGCCTTGCTCACTAAGCATATGGATCTAAGATAGCCAGTATAGTCTGACTGGATTTCCAAAATGTAAGGTCCCTCCCCTAATAAAAGTTATTCTGATTTGAGAGGGACAGTCTTGTAAGTTGTGAAAAAAATAAAACAAAAAAATGGGATAAAGAATTGGTGGAGAGATGTCAGTGAAGATGCCATGGCCTGTCCTACTCAATAAGTGACCTAGAGAAGGGAGTAAATAGGGAAGTGGAAAAGTTGGAGTTGGTGACAATATTGTGCTCCTGTAAAGTAGTTAAGCACTAGTAATAAAGTTGTAAAGAAAAGCAATGACTGAAATTGCAGAAATTGCAAGAAATTACAGAAGGACCTTGTGATATTGAGTGCATAGGCTGTGAGTTGAAAAGGAAAATTGAGTTTTGATTAATGTAAAATAAAACATAAGTAGGAAAAGAGGCAATTGAGGGAGGACCTGAAGGAGACAACTTACTTATTCATCAATCAACACAGGTTTCTTGACATTCTTTTTCTGTTTCAAATCTATTGTTGGTACCATTACAACCTCCATACCAGAACTGGCCACACGAATTGCCATTCTTGTCATAATACCATTTCACCACGTAGTCCCAGCAATCCCCTGGTTTCATGGGTTCCAAGCACCTTGGATCTGAAAGTGTATCAGCAAAAGATAGCTTGGATTCTGGGAATCAGTTATGTTATCTTAGAAATGCCTCCTTTACTAAGAAAAGCATCCCTTTTTTCTTTTCTTTCTTGCAGTACATGGCCAAATTCCACTTCCATTAATGACTTACCTGAACAGGCCTGAAAAATACAGGATCAGATGGAAACAAGACTGCCTAAATCCTGATGCAAGAATCAAGCTGCTATTTAAATACCTAAGCATGCAGCTGGTACACAAGGGTATCATCCAAGTCTGAAAATCTGTCTCTTTGTGATGTCTGTAGACAGAGCACCCAGAAATACAAATAGTAAGAAAATCTAAATTATATTGGAAGAGGGAGTGGGGTTTGCTCATAATTTTTTTTTTTTTTTTTGGTACAGACTTGCTACCCAGTAGCAATACCTATGACCAGTATTTATTACTCACTTTTTGGGTTGTTGCTACTTGTTGCTACTTGTGTTTGCCACAGAGCTGGCTGGTGATCTTCAGTAGAAGTTCCACTGAAGACAGGATTGACAGCTGGACTTAGGGGTCTGATTTCAGATATGTTATCAACTGAGGGAAGTAGAGATTCTCTGTGAGCAGAGGTGGTCACGGTGTGGTCCTGAGAAGATGGCAGAGGCTCAATGTATCCAGATTGTGGTGGATTATGCTGCAAAAGGAGTGAAAATCTTTAAATTATGCCTGGGTATTGATGCTATGACAAAAAAAAAAGAAAAAAAAAAAGATAGAATTATGCAGGAAACTTCTGTTATGCAATGTGTGAAAAAATACTATTAACAGCAGGTTGGTTACTGTGATTACTCAGTATGGAGTCATAATTTTCTGACAATGAGAGCATAATGAAGAGGCAAAGTAATGCCTTGGATGTAGCCACTAAGCTGAATTCATTCAATTTAAGCTAAATTCCAGTCACTACTTAGTCTGCAATACAAATAAAAAATGTGAGGAATTTTTGGTACATCACTGCTGCTTAACATCCTGTACACTCATTGGGCATGATCTGACATCTTCAATCTGCCCTATTTCTGGCTAACAGCCAGTTATTAATCATTAGAATTTTAGAATTTACCTTGATAGAAGTGTTAAGCAGTCAACCCTGTTCTTCAAATTGCAACTATTATATTAAGATTTGCTTAATGTTTTAGTGTATTCAAGAAGATTCACAAGGTCCATAGTACAGTATAGTACAAATAACTGCCTTAATCAGACATTGATTACCTACTGAGAACAGAAAGCAATTTGATTCTATTCAATATCTTCCCATTTACAGGCCACCACAGACAAAGTCAGTTTAAGAAAATTCTTTGGAGTGATTGGAACTCAGTCATGGTGAAATTTAAATGTGCAGACAATTCATCTAGTCCTTTGAATTTTGCATTTCTTTTCTAGTTCTACGAAAAGACTGTGTTTATTTATGACAGTAGTTCAACAGTTTGAAGATTAAACCATAACAGGCACCCAGAACTAAGTGTGTGAGCATCTAGTCCTATCTGATGTATCTAAGAATCTACCTAAGAATCCTTTCTGATTCTTATAATGTTTTATAAAATCAGCATCTATCTAGGTTTACATTTAGTTTTCTTAGTAATACAGAATGTCAAAACTGACCCTCATTGTCTCACAGATCTATCTAGATGTATTATAAGCCTAAAACCTAAATCTTTCACACCTACCAAAGGAGCTCTTATTCTTGTAAATTAACCTAGATTTTGAAAGTGAACTATTTAATTATGAATTATATTATATAAACAATACTACAAGTATTAATAGTGGATAATCCTCTACAGTTAAGTCGGTAATATTTAATTATCTCTAATCTGTATTAAATTAATATTTGAATACCAGTATCATGGTCTGCTATATCCATTCCATGCAGCTACAGAGGTTTGTGCACCATATATTTCAACCAGTTTATCCATCTGGCTATAAGGGCAAGCAAAGCTCATTTTGTAAAGCTCCAAGTTTTTATCATAGACTATTTTGGGCAAAGCAATAAAAATGTTCTAAAGAGTTGACAAATATCCTAATCCAATGCTCTGACAGGGGCTGAAAAATACTAGAGACCTAATAAAGGAGCTGAGGTGATACACACCTGCAGAAAATATTATCTATTGCAATAAAGCCCTCCCTGTCCTGTCTGTCTGTGCAGCAGCACAGCTTTGGAGTACAGAACCTCAGTGCAGGTCAGGAGAAATTTAAAGCTGGAGGACGAAGAGTAACAAATAAGTACAGCCCAATGTGGAAAATGAAGCAACACCAAAGGGTTAATAACTTGGAAATATGGCTGGGAACAACCTGGAATGTGCATGACCACGACAAGGAGCATTGTATTAATCATCAGCTTGCACATAAATAAATGTTTTATCCATTGTGCACCTGCCACAATAGAAATGTAAGAGTTTTAACTCACTTCTAAGATGAACAGGACCTACAAAAAACATGAGGACTGTTAACGTTTATTGCAACTGAGAGAGAGTATTTGCCTATTTCTTTTATAAATGTTTTTCTCTGCAATAAGTTCACTCTAAAATTTTTTTTCAAACACTTTGGTCTAGTCAAATGGCATGTTATTTGCATATTAAAAGGTGAATGGTGAAATAAAGATGGTAAAATATTTGAATTCAAATAAAGACACATAATTAAAAAACATTTTACAACTGTTACTTCTTTACTCACTGGGTAACTAATTCCTTCTGTAGGAAGCATGTCAATCTCTGAAGTGGTCATTTTAGGTAACTGGCTATTAGCATCTTTCCTGGAAATTTCAGATTCCAGACTGGGAGATGGAGATAAAATATTGTATTTTCTGGTGTACACTGCAGACTCGTTCTCACAGATTTTTGTGATCAGTTTATTTTCAAGAGCTGAAAAGATTAATTAAATAATGTTGATTTAAAAGGGTAATAAAAAGAAGTCACAGTAATCCAGAACAAGCTTTTAGTGCAGTATCAACCCTAAATCTTTCATCACAGTGACTTGTAAAAGACCATCTTCTGTAGCTATGTCAAAACGCAAATGAAAAGTAATAAAGTGACACAGTGTTTGAATTATTTTATTTTAGTGCCATGTTATTCTTTTAAGAAGAAACAGATAAAAATACCAAGTCTCTCTAGGAAGTAGGAGACATAGCAGAAAAGAAAAAAGTCAAAAAAATGAGGGTGAAGGAAAGGAAGTGTTTACATGTAAGAAAGAAAAACTGGGAAACAGTTTTCTACTTATTTGTAAAAACAAAAAACAACAGGGACTGGGAATATTTTTATATTGAATCCTAGAGTCTAAGCCTTAAATTTAATCCCAGCATGGACGAGACTTTAGCCTGGATTTGTCTTAATGCCTTCAGTCCAGAGTTAACTTCATTCATAACCTCAGCATAACAGGAAAAGTTTATGCTCAGGAAAGTACAGGCTGGTCTACAGTTAGTCTAGATCAATGTACCTTTTTCTTTACGGGTCATTATAGATTTCCTCTGGATTTTCTCCTGATTTCACCCATAGCCACAGATTTTTTTCAAGCCACATACATTGAAATATACCATGTCTATCATATCCCATTCCCTCATTTGTGGCTCCATAATTTTTTCACTGGAATCAGGCTGAAAGCATAGGTTTCCTTATGGCTTTCAGAAAACAAACAAACAAACAAAAAAACCAAAGAAATCCCCCCCCCAAAAAAAAACCAAAAAAAGATAAAGTGCTTGTAAGAGAGAGTGGAGGGATTCCAAGACTGACAAAACCCAAAAGAAAGAGAAAGGGCCCAAGATGTTATGTCAAAGCGGAAGAAAATCTGCATCTCTCTAGAATGAAACTACGGCCAAGCACAAAGGACTGTGAAGGAAGGCTGATGCAATCTCTCACAAAAGAGGAGCATCCCAAAGAAGACCCAGGCTTAGAAAACTGTTCATTGTGGTTTATTGTTTCTGCAACAGGTAAAAATTTGGCACAAGTTTCATTTGGCCAAAGGTGATGCAAAACAAGAGCGAACTTTCTCCAAAAGAGAAATAAAAGCTGCCACTCAGCAGAATGCCTTGCCTGGCCATGGGAGAGACCAAACTCCCTTACATGCTCATTTCCAGTTTCCTCTTACTGAAATAGTTTCTTTTACCTGAAAGCGTTATGAAGTCATCTATCTGATAAACGTGTTCTTCATCAGGGTCTGTTGCAATGAGCTGCATTTCTTTTAGGAAATCATCATAGTGAGGATCAGTCCTTTGTACAATCCCAATGACAAATATCTCAATATTTGTAGCATGAGCCTCTCTTACTACAGTATCCAGTTGTACTTTATCACGACTGTCAGCCTGTCCATCTGTTATTACAACAGCCACCTTCCTCACTGCCGGGCGCGCGGCCTGGAATAGGTGAATGGCCTCTTGGATAGCAGAAGCCGTGTATGTGCCCTCTCCTAAGTAAGGCATCTTGTCAACAGCTGATTTCAGGTACTCTTTGCTTGTGTACTGCTTCAGAGAAGACACCAGGTCCACTCTGTGGCTGAAATTGATAATGCCAATGCGGGTTGTAGCGTGGTTGGCCGAAACTTTGTCAATGAATGTTTTCATAAAGGTTTTGATAATATTGAAGTTATCTGGTCCAACGCTTTCTGAGCTGTCAATGACGAATAGTAGTTCCAGTGGTGTTACTCTACATTTGATACCACAACCTAGAAGAATAACCATTTCAGATATTTTATGAGAAACCACCTTCAAAAAATGAGTTGAACTCATACATCAGATTAACAGACAGTTAAAACTCAGTTAATGAATTGATTTCTAGTTACTGGTATTGATCACAGAAACAGAGCTGGACCAAATTTTAGATATAGCTCTGGTAACCTAGTGAGCATTGTTTCCATATCAGTGGTATCCTGACACAAAAACACGCAGAGGAAAAATCCACACAGTCAATATACGCTGTGTTTTATCAGAACTACTTTTTTTCCATACTGGAATGCTTACCACATATTTCATTGATAAGTCTGATAACATCTTCTCTCTGAAAAACAGTATTAATTTGTTGTGTGATCTAGTGTTAAGAATGTTGAAATATTTATTTAATTACAAAAATATAGGCAATGAAGTATCTCATAAACAGCCTTGTGTAAGATCACATAACCCTTAAATATATTCCCCAGATAAACTACTATTGCTACAAATAATTTATTTACCTACTTACCGAAAGACCAGGTTCACCTTTTATTCCCCCAATTCCCTGAAAACATGTAGAGCAAGAAAATTAACAATAGCCAAATTTTTCTAGCTTCTATTGTGTAAATTTAAGTAACATTAAAACATGTTTTACCCTTGGCCCTGGAGGTCCTGGGTCTCCAATCTCTCCTTTGGCACCTTTACTCCCTGGATCACCTTTATCACCATAGTCTCCCTAATTTAAAACAACCGTATTAAATACAATCATAGCTCCAATTTTGTTAATTGTCAGAGCTGAAAGTAAGGCTCATTGAGGTTTAAAGATAAATTTTCTGGCTCTTTTGATTTTTTTATTAATGGTTTATCTTGTATGTATTATAAGGAGAATATCAAAATGCAGGCTCTCAGAAAAAGCAAAACGTACAGTAAAAGCGTCTTTAAAATTTTTTATTGAAACATTACCTTAGTTCCATAGAGGGAGTAAAGACATCTGTATGCAAAAGTCAAGAATATATAATATTTTCTGTTCTTTGATTTTCTTAAATTCTAAAACAATGTTTGTAAACTGGATCTATGTTAATTTAGACTTGAGGAGAGATACAACTACTTCAGGTTAACCACTGTGCTGAAACTCACACCAGCTCTGCATAAAAGCCAAATGAAAACCTGTGAGCTTTCTAAAGACAAATGAAGAGGCATGCTTGGACTGTTAAACCCACTGGAAAATACAATGTTTCATATTTAGAAGAAATTTTGCACTCTTCCCCTCAACTGACTAGGCCTTTTGACTTCCAAAAAGTGAGAGGGTTCAACATTCTGAGAGAGTTTTCACATAACGGAATAAAACATTGTAAGTAAGATTCAGGTGCTAAATTAGACATTTTTTCAAGATGAAGATTGCGCAGGACAGTTTTTGTTACTTCTCTCTGGAAATTACTTACCAGCTTACATTTCACTTGAAATTTTAAAGCTTATGAATTTATCTAGATTACTGTTCATTTTGATATTATTCCTCATTATTACCCAGCCAACGGAATCAGACAGGTAACTCCTGTGTGATAGCCTTCACTGTGGTGATTGCTACCAGTTTTAAAGAACCCTTTTGACATTATCAGTCTGATTCTGATCTTATTCAAACTGTTGTAAATCTGATAATTGTAAATAGCTCCTTCACAACATTAAGAAAACCAGTTTAAACTAAGTAAGGTCTTGGAAGACAGTTCTTATTCTATTTCACAAAATCATAATATCCAGCAAAGAATATTACTTTCCATTACTTGTCCATGAATTTAATCTAACATCATCTAAGTTAATGTCAGCATTAATAATAATAGGAAAGCAAATATGATTTGCTGACTGTGGTGGTGGTGCTACTTTCTTACACTTAGATACACTAAAACCTGATCTTTATGGTACATATAGGAAATTCCTTCTGAACTAAACAATTCCTTTTCATGTGTGACAAGTCTGCTATAGTAATAGCAAACAGAAAAGTGAGTATTTGGAGAGATTTACATTGGATTACAAAGATTAGTCAACATACAAGCTGAAATGAAGATCAGTGAAAATATAGCTAGTTATTATTATAGTATATGGCATTTGGAATGTGAGTGAAAATAGAACTAGGAGGCAGAAATTTGAATCTCTGTGAAAGAGCTTGATATTCACATAAAAACTCCCAAGCTGTTAGATATAAATAGTTAAGTGTAGGAAATTCTCACAAGAAGTTATTCAGTAAGGAGAGATTCAAACTTGGGCTTCAATCATCATATTAAAAAACAAGTCAAAGCCCTTAAATTACATTAATCATAAAGAAATTCCCTTTTTTTGTTGAAACCTGGCAAATAAAAGGCTATTTTGTAATACCTGAGGAATATAAAAAACAACTGAATACATAGTTTTAATAATTTAGGATTATTCTCCAGCTAACAGGTATGACCTCATTCTACATCCTACTTTGTAATCTGATCCTTAGTGACCATTAGGATTTTCAAAGACTTCAAAGCTGACAATGAGTAGCAGGTACTTACCTTGCTAGTTATATAAGGTAATGTCTGTCTTCTGTTTCTCTTCAAAGACCTGTCACACCAAATAACCAATAAAGGAAGAAAACCCCCTTTTTTTTTCCTTACAAACCTAGGATTTACCTTTCGTCCAGGAAGGCCAGTTCCTACTGATCCTTTTGGTCCAGGAAAACCTTTATTTCCTTTTTCTCCCTGAACAGAATACAACACTTAAGTTTAACTGAAAATTAATGTAAAATCTATGCTGTCTCGTTCACTTTTGAACACTCTGCATCATAGAAAAAGCCAGATATTATACTATGGGATGAAGCACACAATTTTCAAGAAAAAAGTGGTCTAAGGCAATAAAAACTAGCAATTGGCTATGATTCTGAACATATATGAGAACCTTATAAAGTATATTATGAAGAGTTTCTGCCTGATTAATAAAATAAAAAATTGTCATGCCACTGAAAGAGATGAAAGACAAAAATAATCTCTCCGAGGCTCAGAGTTATTCATCCTGTCTACAAGCAATAAAATGAGATCCAAACCAAAGTTTCTCTAGAAATACACATTCATGACCTCTGCAGGGCAGATTTTTTTTTCTGATCTTAAGTAATTAAGAATACATCTCTACTCTTCACAGTGTGGAAAGCAGAACATCTTCCTGCTATTACTTCAAAAGACACTATCAGTCCAGTTACAAAGCTCAAAATTTTTTATAAAGATTGCTACACATGCCCTGCTGCATGTAGTTAGACTTAAAAAGCATGCTCATGCTAGCTGTGTGGGCACACAATATTATAAAACACGGCTGTTACATACACACAGAAAATTCTTCATAGCTTCTGGCTTCCAGAAACTTTCTTGCATTATTTAATAGGGTAACACAAGTATTTTTTATAGATCAACTGCTGTATGCATTTTAAACACAGATAGAAGTGATTTTATTTCCTGGTACATAAATGCTTCACCAAAATTCACATTACATACATAATTCACTTAACAGCAGTGCCTGATGCAGATACCAAAACCAGCTCCAGAGAATGTCAATGAGATCAGAAGCAGTTACCACATGTATCAAACCGGACTATGAGGTGCAAGTACAGGGTTAGTCAGTTCTATTTTTCAGTGAAGAGCTCTCCCTGTCCCTCTAAAGCATTTTTTTTTTAATGCTTATATTGGTGCTCACAAATGGGCTTAAAAGGGTCATATTGCTCATAATGGACCGAGAAATACAAAAGTGTTTCCAAGTTTATCCAGCCATCACCTAAGGTACACCAGTGCAGCAGGACTGATCACTCTTGCTGAGCTGGATAGGGGCTTATGGATTTCTGCGGGTAAAGAAACAGCTGCACACTGCACACCTAAGCCAACCTTCTCTTCCTTGTACCGAGGGTTCCTGGCTCCCAGGAGCTGGGAATTCACCAGGAGTTAGGTAATGAGATGCAGCTCCTCACAGTGTACAACAAGTCATGTCCATGGATGGTTTTCCCTGTCCAAATTCCAGATCTGTCTGAGATCCTGCTGAAGCTTCTGCTTGCACATGGGTGCATTGTGGTTTTGCCCTGTGCTGGGGAAAAGTATCCAAGGCACTCCACCATCCACATCTCCATTGGAGCATTGCTTTCACAGCCTTGCTCTGTGAGTACCTCTTGGTCCACTAGCCCCAACTGGGGGAATTAAATGCTCTGCTTGCCACCAGGGCTACCCTGACCTGCTATCCAGTAGGCTCTTGCCTCTGTAAGCAGAACTTCCTCTCTCCCCAGTTTCTTACAGCAGCAGCAATTCACACACTACTATGTAGACACTGGAGACTGGAGAACGGTGGCTGTATCACATTACATAGCTGATGCACTAGGGGGTTTTCCTGTAAACAGGAAATACTCCCAAGGCGATGGGACGATCAAAGCAATTTATTTTGCACTGTCACAGGAACTCAGAGTGACTATTTTATCTAATTTCCTTTAAGTTACTTTTTTAGCGGGATTGTGCTTCTTGGGGACCTCATTTAGGTGTTAAAGCAAATGGCCTCTAAACACAATGGAATAGTGTGGCAGTTTGTTTCAAGGCTTGCTGTTCAGCTCTGGGACAGACTCTACTTCCCTCTCAGGTCATCTCACAGCTTCCTGGTTAACACCTCTGCAGGTCTGCAGAGCACACACATACTGACCAAACTCAGGATATGTTGTGTATTCCAGTGGTCCTTCACTAGTAATGAATGTCAGACACAACAGAAGTGTAGATTTATTGCAGCCATTTGTTATTGTCCATTTGACATTATTAGGATGGTGTTCAGGCAATGAAAACTGAATGAGGCCTACTGTTCTAAGTAAATTCATACCCATACACAGCTGACACTTCTCACAAACACACATGTGAGTTTCATCCTTTAAAACATCAACTGCAGAACCAAATCCTGCTTCCTCTACTTGTGCAACAAATATCAATCAACATTAGAAAGGTTTGTCATAGATTCCATAACAGTACATTTAGCAAAACCCAAGAAATGTCCTGTACTAATCTAAAAATATTTATGGCTTTGACAGTTCAATCCATGTACATAATTAAATTCAAACTTGACTACCACTACTACCAAAATGAACTGAGTGCAGATCTGAGAATGTCTAGACTGTGGTTTTGAAAAGGAACCAAGCACAAAGAAAGAAGATCTGTGAATATAGCTATCAACATACACTAACTGGAAAACCAACTCATTTTTGGCATTCTGTTCTTACCATATACAGACCAAGATCTCTCTATATATATAAAAAAAATATTTGGAGTGATATTGATAGCTCAAATGCAGCTTTAATCTGATAAAAAGTGGCCAAAAAGAATGAAGTTTGATGCGTGAAGAGATACAAGGACAAGAAGAAGATCAACAAGCATTTATGTGTGGAAGGAGCTGGCACTGCCAGAGCAAGACAATTTCAAAAGTTGCTCAGAAATAAGCTGTTCCCAAGAATTATATAAAAATAATCATAATTTTAGAAAGCAATGGTTAAGGGAAGAAAATAGAAATGGCAAGACCAATCGTACCTGCACAATTCATGGAATGCTACAGAAACAGCAGCAGCTGAGTTTGATCAACCATATCACTACAGTTTTGTTCTCAAACCCAAAGACATTTCATAACAAGGACACATTACTTTCCAACATCCTTGAGCTAGAAACATGCCTTTGTTTGACAGTGTGTCAGTGTGTTCTTCCACTGGAAATCTTCCATATTGAAACTGAGTTCTCTACACTAGTAAAACATGCTTCAGATATTTACTCATAGTAGTGTAAACATAACATCCAGATATACATCTGTGTGTATCTAAATATATATAAAGAGAGAGACAGAGAGAGAGAGGTGTGTATGTGCACACTGAGCATATTTTGCGTAACCCTTATCTTTTCACAGGAACAGAAAAATATTGTGAAATCTGTATATTTTTTTAATGTATCATCAGATGCATTTGGTTACTGAAATATTTTTGTCCAGAATGGAAATAGTGCTTTTATAATTAACATCAAATACCCATAGAATTAACAAAGATATATCCCAAATATTAGATTCTGGAGAGTCAGCAGAAATTCTTATTAAAGGCAGACAGGAAGGAGTTTTCCTATACCGTAAAGTGATAGACAGATGGCAAAAATTTTTCCGGTTTTCACAAGAATAGAAAAAAGAACCTATGGAGGCAAACAAAGGAAAAAGAGGAAAGAAAATAAAGAGCTTTTCATGTCCTTGCGTTAAAATATGTATTAGCTTTGTGATTACTGATAACAATGAATACAGTGCCAAACTGAAAACAGATCAGAAACAAAGGTCTAAAGAATCATGACTCTTAACCATGTAGAGATCTCTTTCTAAGAAAGTCTGGAAACAGGATAAATCAGAACCTATAAAAGGGAGTTATACAATAAGGAAAAAAGAAACAGCATAATAAAGTATGTTTTTATGCTGCAAAACATTTCAGTGAATAAAGGAAGAGCCCTCTGCGAAATAAAACCAGAAACAATGGAACACAAATATAAAAATGGAAGACATTGAAGATGTAATCAAAGTAAGTCCTGAACAAAATAAATTCTGAAGGAATCTACTTTTCTGGTAAAGCTTGTATGAAGTAATTCCACAATGGACCAAAGAAAGATTCTCCTCTGAATCTTTTTGCAAACAACACACATTTTCTTAAATTTGTTTGTTGGTTGCAGACTGTCACTGTTTTCCAATGAAGACCTATTTGCCACTGAATTCCCTCATGGTTTTACTATCTACACCCAAAATCACAGTATGGAGAGGCACCTTTTCTAACCAAAGTAGAATATTGCCCCTTTTACTGAATCACTGGTGGTTGACCACTTAGAGCTGGAGACCTGAGCACAATACTCTTGATTAAGGGAAATATTCAATCATATGCTCAATTTTAAGCAAACTGATTTAAGGAAAACAAGAGAAACTTCTGTTGTTCTCCACTGGAGCCAGCCTCCAGTTTTAATAAATTTTTCCATGCATATAGGACAAGGCAATTTAACAACTGAGTGCTCAGAATATGTCATCATGTTTGTGTTTCTCCTTTTAAGGGGAAAGTTGTGGCTAGAACTGGGTGAGTAAAAACTCAATTATGTGGGAGACTGCCTAATTTCATTTATATTCCTAGATTCTGGTTTAACTTATTTTGCCAAAGTAGATCTCTGTTACTGCCTTTTACAAGTGTAACACAGAGGAAGCTACAGATCTAAGTAAATCAATAAGATGTGGCAGAGATAAGCCTTTTTCTCCAGGCTAAATACATTTTTAATGACAAGAACAATAGGAAAGCAATTGGGTGCAAGCAATACTGAAAACACAGCAAATAAAGTAAATATTGCTATTTTATGAATATTAAAATTAAGTGTAAAATTAGTATTTGCAGGAATTCACTGATCTAGTGGCAAAGATGGAAAGAATACAATTAATTTCTTTAAGAAACAGTTTCAGAAGAAACTGAACAGATATCACATTAACCCGGATTACCTTTTCTCCTTGTATGCTGATACCAGGGGGGCCAGGTGGACCAGGCAAGCCTTTACGTCCCATAATACCCTATAACAGTCAGTAAGGCAAAAAAGGATTAGGAGGTAAACACTCTGGAAATAATCCCAAAGTCACAGCAAGCAAAAGAAGTAAAACCATGTCAAAGACTCTAGTTCTGATTCTTCCTTGGTTTATGGTTTCTCACTGTGGCTCTTAGTAATTATCCTTGGCAAATTCTCAGGAAAGCAAAGGAACAATTAACCTGAAAATAATGAAAGAATAAAATTTACTCATGACACAGAGTGGTATTTCCCTCATTCTTCCCCACACAGAAGACAACAGAAACCATGTCTACAGAACAGCTTTGTGCAATTACAAAAGGGAGGCACAACGGCAGAGGCACAAAGGACCAGAGCAATAAAACCTAATGTAAGTAAATCTGCCAGGCCTTTTAGCTAGTTTTTGGGTACTATGGGCATATGCCAAGCCCCTGTGGTGCCACAGTCTCTAGGAGCACCAGTCATTCAGAAAATCCTAAGTGGGAAGGGATGAGAGAAAAGCCAAAGCAGCACATGCTGATTTGTATCAGTACAGTCAAAGTCAGGCAGAGCCCCTGTGTTTGCAGGCAGGCTAATCTAACATTTCAAAGTGACAAAGAGAAGTATATCCTCTTGATTACATCAAAACTAAACAGTTGATATTCCTTTTTTAAAATCTGTTTTTAATTGAAAAAGTTTTCAAAATTTGATTGAGCTTCATAAAAGTTTCTGTCAAGCTCAGGTTGGACTTTTGTTTAATCTCTTATAATAAATAATCACTGTGCTCCAGTACAGTAAGTGGAAATCATTCAGTGGTATGTATATTACCTAGATGTATATGTTGAATATTTAGGCAGAAGTACAAAAAAACTTGGTCATCATGAAATACAAATTTATAATTCTAAATATTTAACTTCTAGATACTAGTGAGGTTTGAAAAGTCATCATTATCATCTCTGCAGAAAAATAAATTGCCACAAGTTTCCATAAAATCTCTTGTGAAAAATACTGTTTATACATGTATATGTATAAATATACATAAAGGGTGGGTCATCTCAACCACAAAGCCTTCTCTTTGCCAGGCTGAACAATCCCAACTCTCTCAGCCTTTCCTCATAGAAGAGGGACTACATCCTCGTCCAGACTTACTCTTTTCAAATCATGTGTCCCCACGATTTACCGAGGTACTGAAATTGTTGCAGCTTTCAGGAAGCAAGTTAAAATCAGACGCATCCTGAAAAAGTATTCATGCCCCGTCGTTTACTGTGTATCTGGAGCTGGTAATAGCAATGTTTCTTCGTTCAGATATTAGTTTATACAAAATGGCACTGGCGAGTTCTGTTCCTCTCTGCTATTATGCAAAAAAGTTACAAAGCTGTATCTATCTTTAAACTAGTAGAAATGGAGAAATATACACAATGTTTCTTCTCACTGGCTTTGTAAAAAGAATTGATGGATCAACCTGTAATAAAGAAATTCGGGAAAGTACTGGACTTCTTTTCTTATCAGTATGTCTCTTTTTTAACTACAAATCACTTTAGTGGAGGGAGGAAAAATTGCCCAGATGTTGCATGCTGGTTGCTTATAGAATTAAATTTTTGTTTTCATATTTCTTTCCTAATGGTTTTAATAACAAAATCAATTGGATTTAATTTGATTGAGCAAAAATTGCAAACATAAAACTCATATTTAACATATTTTCCAGCATGAAATAATATCTTGAAAACAGAATAGATACAAGCAGAAAAAAATGCATCATTTAAGTAATTTACCAGCTTGATAGCTCTGCTCAATCTCCAGATGTAATCTCATAAAGCTTAGCTGCAAATGCAATTTGCATCCTGTTAGTACTATTCCTAATCCAGTTGGTAGAAGTGTATGGCTAGTGACCATGTTTACATGCTTGATTTCTCCTGAAGCTGCACCAAGGTAAATCAACAACCGATGAAGATCATTTGGAGTCTGAGAGATCAGGGTCTGGCTGCCAGCATCACAAAAGAGCACAAAAACCTTCAACGTCACATCATACCAACCTTGGGACCCATGCTTCCCCATCCTGGAGGCCCTCGTGGCCCAGGTTGGCCTCTAATTCCTTGGTCTCCCTGAAAATAGTCACAGAAATGTCAGTCAACACCCAGTAAATGTTAAAATGTTACATCTTCATCCATGTACAAAGCAGTCAAATGGATGAGTTTAAGAAACAAGCCAAACAAATGCTTACACAAATAAACAGCTGCTTTATAGATAGGTATTTAAAAAACAAACAAACAAAAAAAAAAAAAACCCAAACAGCTCAAAATACAGGCTCCCACATAATTTTAGCTCTAGGTGAAGAACTAGGTTATTTCCCTATTTCCCAACAGAGTTAGAACTCCACTTTGCAGGCTTATCAGCTGAAAAAAAAAAAAAAAAAGGCAAACCCCTTTGGAAACACCACCATTTTTCCATCACATTTTGCAGGCACACACCAGGATGGACAGGGAGCTTACTAGTGGAACCATGACCATGATCCTGTTTACTGACACAGTGCTTTGTTCTAACACTAGAGACATTTAATTTCCAAAACTGTCAAATTTAGGCATTTATGAAAACTAAATGAATTTTAGTAGCATCAATATAGATGAATAAAAAGAACAGCACCCATTTTTTAAAAAAATCCTCAACATTTACCTTGATTTCAGAAAGAAATTAGGCTTAAGTGATGTATTCTGCCTGTGCTTCTGCTTGTCTGTGTTGGTTCTCTTTTTCCTTTCCAGTATATTTTGAATTCATTAGTTGATTTCAGCCAACTTGATCAGAAATGTACAGGCCTCGATCATACTAATTTTCAACAGTTCTGGTGGTAGTTGTAGGTTGGGTAATGGAGAGACATTCAATTTTTACTTTTACTGAAGAACAAAGAAAACCCAGAGGGGACTCATCCCTTAACTACCAGGCAGAGAAAAGGCAGCAGCTGTCTGGCCAGGGGAAAATGAGTGTAACAGCACCTGGTACTGCCCCTTGTGTTGCAGACAAACCAAGCAAAGGAGATCGGGAACATTATGAACTTAGTCTAAGCCTCACCCTTTGTAAAAAAACTAATGTCAGGGAACATTGGTGATAGGAAGAATGCCCAGGGACAGACAAGGCAGTTTTATTTTCCTCAGAATGGGATTGTACAAATGAGAGAATAGGCACACATTCAGTACATGATTACTAGAAAAGTACCATCTATTCCTTGAAAAGAAAAAAGAAGTCTATAACTGATAAGTTAGAGATGCTGAATATTTTGAATTGTGTTTAGCTGGATATTCCTAAACCTATTCCCATGCAGACAAGTGCAAGTAAAGAAACACACTGAGAAGCTGTTGATCATCCAATATATTAAAAACAGAGCAGAAGAAATTGTATTTCATGACAAAAGTAATAGAAATCAGTATAAAAACTCTTAACTGTTCTTATTTTTGCATTTGGAAAAGGCTGTGCCTGCAGAGGGAGCATTCGATCTAGGAGAGAGGTGCAAGTATAAATCACAAATCACAGATGTCATTTGAGTTGTGGTAGATGAAACGAAATGACATATCAAACAGATTGAAAACGAAAATCAAACAGAATTTTCTACTGATCTTCTTTACATTCTGAGAAGAATGTGTGCAGTCATTACAGCAACTGCTTTTAGGTTCAGTCCCAAGAAAGAAATTCCCAAAGGTTCAGTCTCTAGAAAGACATCACTCCAATCTGCATTTTTAAATCTGTGCTCTCATGTTAAGTCCCAGCATATGTGCTAGCTATGCAAACAGGGCCCAAACTATGCTCAAGTTTGAGGGATTTGGAGAGGTGGAAACTCTGATTACAAAGGGTAAGGCTTAAATTCATAATGCTTTCCTTCCTGATGTAACATTTAGCTTTTGAATATCATTTCCTTTTTCATACAAAGCACTGGAGATTGGCCAGTTTGAGTCAGGACATAGGCATGGTATATGGATGCTCTTAGCTTTAAATTGCTGTGCCAGGGTGATTGGATTAAACTAAGTGCCATGTTCAGTCGGGAGGAAATTTTTCCCTCAGATGATCTAAGGCTCTTGTATCAGACCTTCTTTGAGCGATGCAAAGAGCCAAGACATTGGCAATGTATCCATCTTCCTATCTAGTACCTTCTATTATCAAAGAATATTTATTAATTCTCGATGTCCCCACAAACCACAATCTTAAGCTGTTCGTAGGATAACTCTTCATGAAGAGAAGCTGTGCAGAGCAGCCAAAGATTTCCCTGTCCAAGCTTCCCTCTGAAATCTGCCAGAGATGCTAGAGCTAAGAGGTACAGATACTGCATTAAAAGGTACTTTTTTAGGAGATCCTGGAATGCTGTAAAACAGCCTGTGAGCTGATGTGATGGAAACTGAATGGGAGGTTACCAAATATAAATGATTCCTTATGGCCCAGTACCCAGTACACCTACAACCTGCTCTTAGACCAGTCCTGACCAAAAACAGCCTAAGGGTGACTTGAAGTCATCTGCCTCTTCCTCCCATGGGTAACACAGTCTTCCACAGGGTCGTTGCAGGTGAAGGATTGAATTTTAGCCTCACATGCTTAGTTAATACCAGATGTCTCATTGAAAAGCTCTTTTGTAGAGCTTTATAGTAATCCTCACAGTTTCTGCATTTCTTGGTTTAAAGAAAAAGACTTTTATTTTGCTTTATGAGTTGTGAAGTGGAGCAGTTCTTTTTCCTGAGGTGTCATACTAAACTGTCCTTCAGGGAATTCATTTCAAAAACGATTAATACTGTTCTTTGATGAAGTCTAATTTATTTCCTGTACTGTGCTTATAGACGAGCTTCACACCATCAGCAAAACAGTGAACTAGAAAAACACCACTGAAGCAAGAAATAAAGAGCTGAGTCAAGACACGGTAAAGTGTGGGATTCCAATGTCTATTCTGTACCTTTTTTTCAATAAAAAAAAAACGTTAAATGCCCTAATGGTCAACTGAAACATAAATCTTGGATTTTCCAATATATATACTTCATTTACCATGAAGTATGTGTATTTGATACTGAAACATACAGCAGACACTGCAATACTCTCTTTAGTGAGAGTTAATGGATATAACAGTATATGTAAGAACAACATGTTATTAAAAAAAGGTATTGCATCTCTACTTTCCACATTTTAGTTCAAATAGGCAAGCCCCAAGCTGCAAAAGTTGTTTATACTGCAACTGGATACAGTCCAAATGTTCATGCACTAGGGACTATGCTAAGGATTTTAATAATCTTTCTGCTATCCAGTTACTTGCTTTATTTCTAGTGCTGGGCTCTTGCTCTCAAATGTCTGTAACTCACCCCCTAGTTGGCAACAGTGCTTTTAAATCAAATTTTTATTATATTCTGACATTATGTGCTTCTGTTTTAATGCTACAGAAAATAGGGGTCTGCCAGAACTGAATGCATCCCACATGTTCCAATTTTGTTTTCATGTGAATTTGACCTCTGATACATAAAATTCCTGTCTAGCAGTGTGCACATATGTGAGCCATTTCTGAAAGCAGAGAGAACAGAGCTTTGATTCAGATGAGTGGAACATTCCTATATAATGATCCTCAAAGGAATTTCAAATTAACTAGTGTGTAAATTTATGAGCCTCTTTTATCAAATAAATGTTCTTTTTTTATATGCAGAGATTGTTGCTGTTCTTACTTTTTTTTTTAATTTTTTTTTTTTGGTGGGAGTCGTAACAGGTAGCCAACGCAATTACATTAATTTTGAAAAAAACAGAATATTTTCTATTTTGTGAACTAATTTCTGGGGGAATTATTGCAATTAAAATTAATTCTTTTTCCTTGTGGCACCTTTGCTACCAAAACATTATGCAAAGATTAAAAACTCAGAATGTAATATGGGCAAACAGAAGCAAAAAAATCAGGGAATGAGAAGAGGTGTTTATATCTTTAGTTTCTTTATTTCCAGTGCATTCTTTACTATGTCTGGTGTGGATAAAGAGAAGCAAATCAGACATGTTATATCTTGTTAGATAATGCTTGCTTTGGTGCACCATGCACACACTGTGAAAACTACAGCTGCTCACTCTATAGAACAACAGACCAAACAAATCAAACAAATTTCACTGAACATGGCTAACACACCAATCTAGGGACATCATCAAAAAGAAGCCTACCTATTTTAATGTAAGAAATACAAATTAAAATTTTTACCAGACGTTTTTAACTCTTGAATTTTTTATTATCTGACAGAGGGTTAGATAAGCATTACTCTGAGCAGGCAGGTTTGGTGGGCAGTGTCACACTGTAACACAAATGAAACATGATCCATGAAAACTTTTCATACAAAATTTGGTGTAAGCATGATTTGCCCTAATTGTGTTGTGTTACTTGCAAAGGCAGCTACTCTGCAGGGCTGTGTTTTACAACAGCTTGGACCTTAGATTCAAACCACCTAATTCTGACAATTTTTGTGACAACCGAGATGACTTGATGGAAATAAGATACTTTTAATTTACATAGCAAACCTGGTCTGACCTGGAATTGTCAGGAAACATGAGAATAGTGAGAACAATTTATCAGTTTGGTTTTGCCTAAGGTAAGGATAAGAGAATCTATTACTAGACATTCCATGTACTATTATATTAAATATAATGAAATAATTAGAACCTCACATCCTGGTCTCAGCTATTTCACCTTTGCTTAGTCAAATCTCAGTCACAGTAACAGGCCTTTTTGCCGAATTTATTAATAATTGATTATTTATTGATAATATTTATTATTAATTGTAATATCCACTATCCACAACACAGATCCCCTCACAAAAATATGCTACCAATAAACCCCTTTTACTAGCACATAAATATAATTCACTCCACACATCTTGATGAACTGTGATATTTTTTATGCTCTTCATGGAGATGGGACCAACAAACAAGGATTTGATGTCTTTATAAAGGAATATGAACAACTCTCTTCAGCTGGCAATGATTAACATGGAGCCAAAAATGGAAACTCTAAGTACTACAGAATCATAGAATCACCAGGGTTGGAAGAGAACTCTAAGTTCATCAAGTCTGAATGTCAACCTGGCAGTACCACAGTAACCCCAAAACCATTGAACAACATCATGCAGTGCCAGATCCAGACACCTCTTAAACACCTCTAGGAATGGTGACTCCAACACCTCCCTGGAAAAACTATTCCAATGCTTGACCACCCCACCAGTGAAATATTTTTTTTCTAATATCTAATCTGAATCTCCCTGTCTCAGCTTAAGGCCATAAAACAGCTAATTTATGATGTAATTAAATATACACCCTATTTTATCACAAGACTTACAGTGACTTAATAATTACTGATAAAAAGACTAGATGCCATGTTCACTGCAAAAACTAGGCATAATTACTTTTAATTTACACCTTTTACCCCTTCATCCCCAATACATCTAATGATTCGGTATTTTGCTTCCACCGTACTTGATCTGGGTTGGAACTTTTCTGATAATTATACAGCTGAAGAGTTGCTTGTCCCAGCAATTACGTTAATTCATGGCTGTAAGAACAGAATGGACTTGTGACCCACTTTTCAATCTCTGATACTAAACAGGCACCATGATTTTCCTAAGAACATTTCTGCATAGTTGTATATTTGTGGTACTTTTCAGAAACACAGCCACAAACACTGATCGTAAAACTTCCAGTTCTGAGAAATTTCACTGCAATGATTCTAGTGGTTTTCTTTCCCTTAAAAACAAGTAATTCTTTCTTTCCATTTTGGATTTAAGTAAAATTTATTGATATTACTCCCCTCTATTCCCATTGAAGTTGTGATGTACATTTTTGGACTTCTTAGTTCTTCAACCATGACATCATAGTCGGAGATCATATTTTTGACAATGTGACTTTCCAATTCCTTTTCTTTAGGAAACACTACTTTCCAGAGTTATTCATTTAGGAAGCAAGGAACAATTCAGATACAACAATACTCCTAGACATCCTGCAGTCATAAGTTAAATCTTTCTCAATATCTGACTTGATAATTTCATACAAGATTCTAGGATTTTAATGAAATGTTCTTCTGTAGTATCAAAAAACATGTATTGTAAGAGCACATTGTATCAAGTCTGATATTTCTGTTTGGAAAGATACAGATTACTGTGGTAATTCTAAAATCAAGTCATTCTAAGAATGTATGTCCTTCAATTTTTCCTTTATTGTGGATGTTCTTGAAAGGTTATTGCAGTTTATTTTAAACTTGAATTCTGCTGTTCAGAGAACTGAAGTTGAAATTTCTGTTTGGGAAAAAACTTGTTTGGGCAATATTTATTTTGCTTCCTCCTGCAACAGGCTGCCTGTTTCTTATTTCACATATGCAATGAAGAAATCATCAATAAAAACACTCTGGGATATATTAAAGCTATTTGTTGCATGATTCTAGTCTTAAGTCTCTTTTTCTGACTTTTTATAACATAATTATTATTTTATAACATTACAATTACTATGTGAATTTTTAGGTGAGTTACATACTGCTTATAATTTTATAAGACTTTAGCTATTCTGTTTCTTATGAAAAACCATGGAACTGTTTCAGTGTTGTACTTCTAATCCCTTTATCAATTTTTTTGTTTGCTTGGGATTTTTTGTGAGTTTTGGCTCTAAACAAATACTAATTTATATAGAGGCAAAACTCACAAAATTTATCTAATTTCAGATAAAAGTTTATACTCTTCTATTAAGAATCCAACTTAAAAGATATCTCAGTAGCTCCATGTAACCTTTAACTCATTTTTTTGCCTCATCCCTCGCAGAGGGATTCTCTGCCAGAGAAAGGAAGGGCATAATTACTAAGCAATACTGTGCTTGTGTTGGATCCTGACTTCCACCAGCATCTAGAAACATCCTGGGCTTTGAATGTATGGAAAACCTGCAGATTTGCATCCAGTCTGAGGATAAAGCGAGAACTAGTTTCTGTCACATCAGAAAAGTCTATCACAAGCTTTTCTTCTAACAGAAATGAAAAGTAGGAGATGAGAAATGCAACATCTTGTCATATATTTGTCATTCTTATCCAACACATTTTTTGGAAGATGTCTACCTTGTTTACAAGTCAGGTGCATTGTTTTACTATTGGACAAATACCTTTGGTCCAGCATCTCCCACGCCTTTTGGTCCTGCTGGTCCTTCAGGGCCTGCTGGTCCTGGAGGTCCCTGGTACAGCAGAGGAATAAAGCATGTCAATAGTTGTCCAAATGTACTTTTGCTCCTCAAAAAAGAAGATAAATTCTTCACATTTCTGATGTGTACTGAGCAACAGCCATGCTCAGTCTCAGGTGGTCACCTAAAAAGACTCAGATTGGTGGAAAAAAGTACAGCTCTTGACTTAAGAACATTGTTCTCAGTTCAGAAAAAACAGTGAGAAAGCAGACATTGCTCAATGATTTATGTGCTGCAAGCATTAGACCGCTGCAATTCCAGAGCTAACCCACCTAAATTTAGGGGTTAGGTAACCTTAACATACTTCTGTGTATTTGTGTTTGGTAGCCTGTTCTCCCGAACTCCCTGCTCAATTCATCCTCCCCTTCAGCTGCCTTTCATACTGTTGGAGGCATTCCCAGGTTCCCTTGCAGCATTCCTAGGGCAGAAGGCTTTGTCCCATCCTGCTACCTACTTAGCCACATAAATCTTGTCCATGTCTGACAGTGCTTTATTAAGTTGGTCTTTCCAGCTCACGGGGCATGGGAAAGATGTTGCACAGCAGAACCTTTGCACATTACACAGCATGAAATGTGTCAGGTACATGGCATTACACCGGGAATTCTGAGTGAATGCCTTATGTAACAATTCTCATCCCAAAGGATCTCCTCAGCATCAGTTTGAATGATAGGAAATTGGAGCTGAGTAGGAATTTGGAAGCACTCAGGTCCCACCTCAGTGCATCTGGGAGTGCTTGCAGGGTTGTAGTTTGAAAGAAAGCTGGATTAGACACATAAAGAAAATAGTGCTAGTGGAAGTTTGACATGTGGTGGTTGAAGGATGGTAACAGTATTTCCACTTTCCAGTGGAAAAGAGAGAGGCTGGTCAAACATATCTGTGTGGTTTTGGATGACTGAAGTTTAGGATGATATGTCCTTGTGATGGAATGTGCCAGATGGAACATTCAGGTATTAATTCCCTCTGAAGCCAACCATCAGAAAAGCAAGAAGTGAAAAATCTTCAAATAAGAGGATTTAACTTCCCAGTATGAAAAACAGCTGAAAATCCAAGGAACTGAAACTGCAAAATTTGGTCTAGCAGATGGTATTAGAAATCTTGATCAGAGAAGAGAAAAGGGAGGGAGAAAAAAATAATTTAAAGCAGTGATTTTATTTAACATGAGCAGCCATAAAGGTCTTTTTGGAATTAGATGGTATCCTTTTCATGACAATGAAACAAGAACCCTTTATATCCAGTTCCAATTGCTTGTAAACTGGTGCTGTGTCTAGGAAAGGGCTTCAAAATATCCCAGCATTTTAAATTAGCTGAAGGATGATTAACTGCACTTAGTTAAGCAACTAGATCTAAGCAACTAAATATCGAGTTATTACATAGTAATTTTTGTTTCATTTTGTTTTGTTTTTTGTTGAACACAAAGTACAGAATTTAAACTGTACTTACAGCTTCACCTTTGTCACCTTTATCACCTTTTTCTCCATGGGGTCCAGGTGGTCCAGGTACTCCTCGGTCTCCCTAAACACAAAATAGGAAGACAGAAATCATTCCACAACCTGGACTATCACAGCGTGAAGAATATTAACAAATATGTAAGGAAGATATTTAAAATCTTTTTTGAAATATAGAATAGCAGTTAGTCTTGAAATTCATTCACAAAGTTCAGGAATTTCTGTGTGTATTTTTATTGTGGTTTCAATTGAATTAAGATTTTAGAAAAATAAGAATTCTTATTAGGAAATTGTTAATTTCTGGATTTGTAGTTACAGAGAGAAATATTCAGAGCATTGACTTTATATTCAGCCCATACAAAGTTAAATTTATTTTCAAAAACAAACTTTATCAGTTTGGAGGTTAGTTTGAGCAATGATAACTAAGTTCAGAGTACTGAAACATGATATGCCAGCCTTAAATTATATGTGGCACATTTTGTGCTTCCAGGTAACCACATTGGTTCTCTCATACAGTAAAGCAAAACTTCATTCTACAAGGGAAAGTAGGAAAAGAAAGAAATAAAACAGTTATAAGAAAATGATCCATCTAAAATGCTCTCTTATCAAGAGACAATCACTCCTGTTCACCCTTCCACTGACTTCCACTAAAGGTTTGTGCAACTGCAAAACCTCAATGCTTCCTTTTATGGCCAGACAAGATGCAAATAGCAAACTTTTCCCCTTTCCTCACTCCAGAGAGAGTTTTCCTGACATTTTATGAGAAAAGTAACTGAGCTTGCAATAAACTATTCACAGAATCCAGAAAGAAAACATATTTCTTTGCTTCCTAAATGCATTTTCTCTGAGGGTATGCTTTTGGTCTGTACTGTAGATGCTCACATGACAGCACCTGCAATGGGAAATCCTCATTGATGCATGCAGGTCACACATACACCTCCCTCCCAATGGTATGGATATTGTGGCTCTACAGACAGAACCCCACACCCTTCACTTCGCCCCACAGAACCAATAAATGTTTTGCTCTACGAAAGAGCATTGTAGAGTGCTGTGAACAAGTCCTTGAGTGTTGTTAATGTGCATGGTATAACATATCCTCAAGAATAATTACATACAAATATACAAATATTTCCCTGTCTACTCCAGTAAAAGGAAATAACAAGGAAAATGAAACTACAAGGGACAGAAAACTACTGTTTCATTGTGCATTGTGCCTGCAAATTTCTACAGTAATATACTTTAAGAAACCAAGAAGAGAGTCCAGTTAGCAGCTCAGACCTCAGCAGCTGGTCTGTATGAATACAATGTCCATGTCTGGAAAACAAATCATCTTGTACCCCAGCTGGGTATACAACAAAAACAAACTTTAGGCCAAAAATTTCCTGTCCCATGAATGTCTCTACCATAGACACAAATAATCTGTTCTTATTAACTAATTTATTCCTAATAGAAAAATGGAAGAGATGCTTTGTCCTAAAGATATACATCATAGGTTTAGGCTAGCAGGTAATGGTAAATGAAGAATTATGAGGTAGACTCAATGTTCTGGTTAAGATGAAGCCCTGAAATTACTTTAGCTGAAATGTGGATAGCAATGCAAGCAGGCCTCATGTCTAAGTACATTTTAAATAGTAGGTCCTTCCTGTATGAATCACATCCATTCTTGAATCCAATGGGACAGTTTCACTGAGAGGCTTTAAACAGACCCTGACCACCAGATTCAAACTGTCACGGCTCTCAAAGATGTCTCTTCACATCTCCTGATTTTCAAATGATGGAATTCTGATCCACCTCTGTAAAAATTTAAACAACCAGCACGCTTCTAGATCATAAATAGCTTTATAATGGGAAGTCAATTTCACCTCTTCCTGATTCTTAATATCCATAATTCTTAAACTGTGGATAAAATGAAAAATGTTTTAGAAATGTTTGGAAACATTTTTATTTAACAAGAAAGGAAAACATGAATCATGGCTTCATATCTGTTTTTACTTCTAATCTCACTACAGTAAAAAACAGCCAAACGGATGTTTTCATTTAATCCTAGCAGGCCGCTGTAAATACCAAATACATGTTAGCACTTTTCTTCTGTGAGAATTGGGATTTTGTCAAGTGTCTGTATCTGCTATTAGTAGCATAACTATAATGCTATCAATCTACTTTGGCCAAATCTACAGCCAAATCTTGTATCAGAAACAGTTCTCTAGTCCAGATTATTTTGTTGGGGCTTTTTAATCAGTCACACAAGAGATGGTGTGGAAGTAATTCTGTGATTACTGCTTCCCACAGTTTTGTGGTGTCTGGAAGAGAAAATCACAGTGACTGACTGTAAGTCAGTGCACTGATAAGAAAGAAAATGCCCCTGATGCTACAGATAGTCTGCTAAATGAATTAATCTGCTTTTCCAGACTTTCCAGGACAGGTTCTAAAGTAGTTTTCCAAAGCAGTAATATAAAGACAGTTGCTTCTACATGCTTTCAAAACAACAACATCAAAATTTATATAAAAATAAAACTTGCATCCCTGATCATTATAAAGAAAATAAAACAGCTGTCATAATCAAAACCTAATTGATTAAGGACCATACTGGACAATTAAGTCACTTTCATCACTTATTTTTACTAGAGTAATAAAGTAATTTCTAGATTATAGACAAAAGAAATTTAGAGTTTTCTAAAATCAGAAATACAAGTTACTGAATGGTTCAATGTGCTATTCAGCATCCTATAGTAGGGGAACTGATAGAACTGTCAAGCCAGGAGTAAATGCCATTACTGGTATTCTTAAAATGTTATCATGCAAAAGCTATTGAATTAAGTGGTTACATTTTGAGCTACATTGTGTTAGGTAGACATAAACGAATTGGTTTCTGAATTTGGGTCTATTGTTTATATTTCCACAAAGTGAAATGATATAATTGAGTGGAATATTTTATGTGCAGACATGGTTAATTGGAATGAAAAGGAAAAAAAAAAGTTTCTGAAGGAGGTTCCCAATTTCATTCTGGAAAGGAGATAATAAGAATGGTACCTTTCCCTGAAATACTCCCTTATCAGAAGTGGCAGAAGTCTTAAATAAAGCTGCAACCCAAATCACAAGTGACAGACATTCAATATGATACAAAGTGTGTTAGAGGGGAAGAAGTGAATTTGAAGAACTGCCTTGCCAATAAAGACTTCCTATGGGAAGTTTGCAGGGTGAGGTATACTGGACTATTTATACAATTTATACATATTATTTATACATATATTTATACAATTTATATATATGTTATTTATACAATTTTTTGTTTCTTCTTTGTAAAGATAGTAAGTTTATTTTAAAAATAGACATAACCTGGAATGATGGAAAAGTGGAAGAATTGGTGAATTCCTTTACTTAAAAGGTTTGGGTGGTGTCTGTATTTTCACAGGAGTTTTGCATATGTCTCATGCTTAGTTACTTTCTAGCTTTTGTCTAAAAATTCCTACCGTTGGTCCCATTATTGAATTTCCAGGAAGTCCATCATCTCCTGGTGGTCCCTTGTCTCCTGGATCCCCCTAGCCAAAAAGAAACAAATTCAGAATTATATTAACTATATTCTGTTTTAACTTTGAAAGTTTTACAGAAAAGACCAACTCTCTTACACTTCTGCTTCTCCCCAGCAGTGTAAAAACCTTTGTTCAACCTTGACAAATAACTTGATGGCTTAAGTTTTCAGATGAAGGCTGAATGTCATCATTCACTTTGAGAGGCCAGATGCACCGGTGGCTCCTGCCTGCTTTTGCCCCACAAGCAGGCTGCATAATCTTGTTTCTGCCAGAGCACATAGAGAACAGCAAGGAACTTCAAAGGCAAGTGCTGAGACAGAGTATGTTTAGAAAGCCTATGGATGCAATGGCACAGCACTTCAAAAGTGCAAGTTCCATGATCTGAAGTCCCAGGGAGAAACCTGAGTTTTCCACAAATATTACACAACACAACCCTTTGGTAACAGTTCTGTCAGTTGGATTCCTGAAAAACAATTAGGCTTAGAATTCATCTTCTTTATATTAACCCTTCATGGAGCAAAATTTGGCTCCTTCTAGTGTTTAAACTTTGGCAAGAGATGTTTCACTTTACATGTATGAACTTACAAAAAAATCTAAACTTGCAATGAAACATTTACAATTTCTCAGTGAGAAGGACATGAAGTATTTCAGGGAAATACACTTAAATGCTCTAGGGAATGCAATTAAATGTTCTATCAAAACCACTGATCAGCTGTAACCATGACAAAGAAATATTAGAAAAAACAGCTTTCTAATGTTTCTGTCCCCATATTAGTAACAGCATAATGATTGTTAAGGGAAACAAAACTCCAGTCCCCAAACGTGGGCGTAGCTTAAAATAAATAAACTCTCAATGGACACAGCCATGGCTACCCGGGGGTTAAGACCTCTAGCAATCACTCATCACCATCTCAGATCCTTAGAGATGTCCCAAAATGACCTCAGACTCCCAGACATAACTCCAAGCTTCCAGAAACATTCTCTACATTAGAAATTGATCATGTCTGCCTTCTTAGCTGCAGATGCCAGGATGTTTTAGGAGAAAAATTTGTAGTTATCATTGTACTTTCCACAGATGATGGAGAAAAAAGACCTGTGTACCCTGTTACATTATTGATCAATTGTCCAAAATACAGTAGATATTTTTTTAAACAAAGAAGTTATGATGCATCTGAAGAGAAAAAGTTTTATATATTTTCTAAAAATCAATTTGCATTTTATAATTACCTCAAATACTTGGGGGTTTTTTAATCAGCTACTGCCCACATAAGCCCTGCTCCAAAATTTAGTAAAGAATTTCAAAAGACTCCAACAGGCTTCATTGGATTTTGGATAATGGCCATCTGCTATGAAAGTTGTTTGAACTGTTCTGAACAGAACAAAATCATAGCAAAAAAGGCAAGGAAGTCTACAAAGTCATTTTTCAGCATGAATTTATTAATGAAAAATCTTGACACCCTTACTTGTCTATTTAAAAATGTCACAGTAACTAGAAAAATGTGAAGAAGGGAGAGTGATTTAATGAAACATGTCCTCATACAAGTTGTGCCTTTTATCATGACACCCGTATTCTCCTCACATAAAGTTTGTCATGTTATTACGGTTTGAAACCAATATAAGAGATATGAGCACCTCACAATCTTTTTTTTTTTTTTTTTTTCTATGTGGTTACATTTTTATTCCAGATATACCCTGAGAATTTTGCATTTTTGTCTTTTCTCCATGCACAAGCAAGTCTAAAACACATCAAATCCCTCTGTGATGTCCTATTGCCAGACTGATAAGCACATTGTATATGTAAAACCTTCCTGTACTTGTGGGGCAGGGCACATATATTTTTAAGGAAGAAGGAAAATGGGGATGAAATTTCTTCAGAATGATACGATACACATTAGTGATTCCCTCGCTCGAAAAGCTAACACCAAAGGTGAAAAGTGTCAATTAAAGTTGAAGTTACCTGACATATTATAACAAGAATAACTTAAGTAACAAGAGTAATTTATTGTTTAAATAGCACTGAATTTTAAAATATTTTTAAAAACTTCAAAGTTAGCTTTTTTTTTGCTAAATCCACCCATTTTACTCAACAGGACAAGTCCCACTTATTTCAGACACGTTTTTCCCATAGAGAAAATGACATGGATGTAGCCCTAACTATCTTATATATGACATTTCATTTCAAGTAGTACCTACAGGCCAGCTGTTCACTTGGAAGTGACATACTGACACTCATCTCAAAAAAAAATCAGCATATAGCACCCTAGAACTGTACATAAACATATTTTTGCAGGGATTTAACACCATATTTGAAGATGGAAAAGGCATAGCAAATTTGGGAAAAAACCAACTTCAAACTGATTAATTTCACAGGAGAGACAAAACCAAACCAGAAATCCATTAAGTTGTTTTTTGGATTTTTTTAACAAATGGCTTCAGGAGGAAATAACTATGTACCAAGTTCATTATGCCATTAAAGGGCCTGGCCTCCAACATGGTCTGTTAATTTTTAATAATTTTTAGTCCTTATTTCTGAAATTCAGTATTTTTGTTCCTACAACAAAGAATTTTAAGTTCTTTAAATCAGATTCTTTTAATTTTGACAGAAATGTATACGCTAGAAATTTCCAATATCTGGTCTCTAGGAAATATGTATCAGATTGTCACCTTTGGTCCAGGAGGTCCCAAAACAGATGATCCAGCTACACCAGGGAGTCCTCTCTCTCCAGGATCACCCTGTTACAAAATGGTATAATGTAGACTTAAACAGACAGTTTGACTTTCTGAACTAAAAATAACTACAATAGAGATCTACCTGCAAAACAAGCAATACTGTGAAAAATATATAAATCAAAACATAGTTCTTATGAAAGCTGGTGTAAATTTCATGTTTTAAATAACTATTAGCTAACTGTGTATTTCACTTTTTTAGCTTTAGTTAATATTTGTGTCTAGCTTGCAATCCAATGGAATAACAAGCACACTTATATTATTCCAATTTCCTTCTAATTCATTCAGAGCAACAATTACAAAATATTATAACAAAATGTTGATGATTCAAAGTAAAAATTTGCAAAATACTCATGGTTAGAATCATTTGGACAACTTTAGCTTATCAGTGCTCATGTATAACTATAACATATGTAATTATATATTTAACTATTCTTTTTCTCCTTGAGACTTCTGTCATTTAGGAGAAATGATGGAAATACTTCTGCTTTCCCTTTTTTCTGCTAAGTCTCTAAGCATCAGATGCTTGAGAAAACTCCAATAAACTCCACAGATATTTTAATAAAATACAAAGAGAAGGGTTACCATAGAAGAGCAAGCTTACTTTTGGTCCAGCTGGGCCTTTTGGTCCTGTAAGACCAATCACTCCTTTGGATCCTTTTTCTCCAGGGTCACCCTGAAGAAAACAAACTTTTTTTTTTCAATCACAGCAAAGATTCATTTACAGCCACAGCTACACAAATAACCAAAACCACAACAATAATTATTAGCCCATAATTAGAGAGATGTTTAGATATTCCACCCCAAATGAAATGCTGCTAAATTCTAGACTGTGCCCCAAATGTCCTAAATTACACAAAATGGGAGATAAAAGTTGTCTGTTTACTAATACATCTTTCCAGGCTTTTAATTTAATATTAAGGTATCTAACTATTCTCATTTCTCTTATCTTCTCTCTATCAACATAGTGAGCTAATCTATCATCTCTGAACTTCAATGAAAATTCTGTACTGGTATTTTAGGAAATCTCTACTACCCTATTAACTTTAGGCTCTGTGTTTAGAGTCTGATTTTGCTGCACTTGTTCAGGCTACAGAATACATTGTTCACTCTCCTAAATCCTTTTAAATAATCAGCTAAAATAGAGTTGATACTTGTGATATAATGAATGAAAAAGTAAGCCAGAAGCCAAACCCTTATGAAAGTCTGCAGTATTTCCCCAGCGTGCATGTCAAGTCATACCTTTTGACCTACATCTCCTTTGCCAGGGGGTCCTTCTGGGCCTCTTGGACCTTGATCTCCCTTTTCCCCCTAACAGAGATTAAATGGTTAATTATTTTTCATGTCATTAATTTTACTGATAGACTTATGAGAAACAATGCTTGAATAGATATTTTACCCAAAAATATCAGTAAATACTGGTTAATTTTTTTCCAACAAAAAATAAAGTATTCTGTCTCTTAAAGCCCTTGCAATATCCTACATTCATATTCTTTATTTTCATAAACATTTCTAATAGTGTCATTTGCAACTGCATCAATCTTTTGTGGGAAGGATTCCATGCCCATACTTATAAGAGGAAGAGAAATGCTTGCAAAGTTACCAAAATGTCTTGATGGACTAATTCTGAGAAGCAATTTGTACAGACAATTCTGTAGCCAATGGCCACTCCAGGCTGAAAATATTTGCCAGGAACATTACATTAAATAACTCACAAATAGCCCACACAAAACATTCTATTAAGGAGCATTACCTACAAAATATTTATGCATAATACAAACCAGATTAGCATATCAGGATACCTGCAAGTAATCTAGAGAGTAAAAGGTAGATTAAAATGAAGTTAAAATCCATTTCTGGATTTTAGCTGTTGATGAAAGTGATATTACAGAGCCTGTTGTTGATAGGCATCAGTTGGGATCCCTCTTTGGTGTGCCATTGTCAGACCTGCAAATAACTGCTGTAATATCACCATGATATTCACTGTAGGCATCCAGCTGTTCTTTGCACTGCCCTGAATACCCAGGGTAGCTGCCCAGTACTACTATTTTTACTTCAGTGGGTTACAACAGGGAAGGTGACAGCACAGAATTAATTATCAGAGTAAAGACAATATGCAAGAGAAAAAACCAAAAACCCAGCATGACCATCTGTAACACTAACCCAACATTTACTCTAAATTCTGATGCACTTCTGATACATTGGAATCTTACTTTTTGAGCAGTGGATAATACAAATGTTAAAAATATAATTAAGTAGCAACAGAAATGCTACATATTTTCTCACAGTGAAAGGCTTACTGCTTCAGGTTGGAGTTTGTCCAACTGGTATCTGCACTCGTAGGTGACAAAAATGTGAAGTTGAATTCTTAATAGATATTTATTACAGCTATTCAAATATTTTCTGATTTAAAGCCCACAGTCAAAAATGCTGATTTGCTTACTCCAAATTATGTTTAGTTTATCAATTTTACATGTCAGCCAGCTGCTACTTTCATATAAGTGCTTCACAGTGGTCTGGAGGCAGCTGGATTCTCAGCAGCAGTTAAAAATCACACAAAGCACTGACTTTTGCTTACTCGGCAGCTCATTCATTTTGGAAAGAGTAAAATTAAAAACTTAAATTTAATTTGCTCTAAATTTACTATTTTAGGCACTCGGCTTTGCATTCCTCTAAATTAACTCCACTGTTTTGAATTTATGTTTGTTTTTCCAAATGTGGTGGAGTTTCTCCTAGATCCTCAAAGTTTCCCTTGAAAACAAACAGCCCTGGGTTTAGCTGTTTGTGCAGGTACCTGTACCATGGCTGACAGCTTTCAGCCACAGCTCACCACCCTGTGAGATGCCCTAAGTCACACTGATGGAGCATCACTTGGTGTCAGGAAAAATATGAATAGGTGTGGTGGGTTTTAGTGCTGGCTAAAATCACCAGGTTACTTACTTATTTCTTGCTGTGAGATATGGATTAGGAGAAGGGCAAAACTGGCTTAAAACTTAAACAGTCCATGAGGAACAGGCTCAAGACATGAGCTACCTGCTCTCCAAGAAGTTTGTGAAATGTAACAGTAGTCAATTTTCCACAAAAGGCAGGGTTGCTTGCCTGTAGCTCAGTTGCTCATTCAGATGGTAACCACTGTTAGAAGTGTTTTTTGGACACATGTCATCCAGTCCCAATATCCCTGGAAAAAGTATTGGCATGTGCTTTCCTCAAGGATGAACTCCTAACCACTGCAAACCTGCAAATAACCTGTTCTTCCTTAATCACCATTTTTGCACACCTTTTTACATGTGGTGAAATATATTTCCTTACCTTTTTCCCTGTCAATCCCTTCTCTCCTATCACCCCCTTCTCTCCTGGGGGTCCTGGTAGACCTGTATCTCCCTTAAAGAAGAAAAAAATTGTTACATCTGCATATTTCAATAAATTGTTTGTTCTGTAAAATGGATCCAACAGTTTGTGAAAATATTAATTAAAGATAAACAATATTTTTCCTCCAATAAAGGTTTTTATTTCCAGTAAGTTAAATATTCTATAGAGACACTAATTTTTAATACCCATAAGTATTTAAAATTTCTCTCCAAGTTCTCCACCTACTTCTTAAATCTTGGACTTGTATAAAATAAATTTATGTTTATTCAGTGAATAAAACCATGACTGAATGCTGTTTGTTTTCCTCTGCACAAGAACAATATTGTATTAATGTAATTTACTTACTAAGTCAAACATCTGGGACTTAAAGGATGGTCAGCCAAAAACATCCAAATGGTGTTACTGACTGGACACTAACCCCTTACCATTTGTACAAACCAACCAAGTCAGTGCTTTTCATATTTACCAGAAAGAGTTGAAAGAATTCACAGGAAGCAGTCCTGCCAAGCATTTCTTTCATGATCCAAGAACAAGTCATTAAAAACAAGATGCCTCTGCCACTTTACCTGATTTTTGAAGCCCTACTTAAATCATTAAAGATATGGTTTACAGTCTTCAAAATGGCATCTGAAGACAAAGCTGTAAGTGTTTAATGTCTCTTCCAACACACCGGCAGTATGACCACCGTTGTCACAAAGAGTGGCTTTTTTTTTGGATCAGAAAAACCAGGGGAACAGAGTTGGCAACTTTTCTAACATGGTAGTGGCAACGTTTTTATGACCCTCACTGAAATTCCTTCCTATTTTGACCACAGTTAATTTATACCAAAAAATCTTCTACTTGGTTTATCAGTAATTAGTGGAAGAATTAAAAGACCATGTAAAGAACAGTTAAAAATAAAAGCAGGCTCACTTTAAGTCCTGATGAGCTAATTCCTGGAAGTCCTGCTTCTCCTTTTTGTCCAGGTTCACCTGGTTCACCCTAGCAACAAAGAAGTCTTTAGTTTAACAGAGAGACACAATTTAGCTTTATTCACGACTTGCACTGTTTAATTAGCTGCATACACAGAGGCAGATATGTGATATTCTACAATTCTATGAACCTAAGTGGTCAAGTTTTCACTGGAAAATTCTGTTCTTTAAAACCCCCTGTAATTTGTAGGTCTGCATCTATTTTATTTAACGCTGCAGTTGGCAGAAAGTTGAAGTGAATCACTCCAACTTTCTTCCTTATGCTTTAATGCATTTTATATTTTAATGTACAGGACTATATCAAAAACTCTTTGGTCACTGAATAAAAAGTAAGTCCAAAGAAAGAAAAATTAGAAGTCCTCCTTAAGAGAAAGTTCTAGCCTTTTTTCCTGTAGTTCCAAAACAGTAAAAGAGATAGGAACTCCATTTTGCAATTTTGCTTCATCACCTTAAGTGAATTGGCCTATCACATAACATGTTTCATAGGAGTCTATTTTTCTCTACATTAATATTAAATATTTCTGCTATAACTGCTGTTTACATGCCAAAGCTATACCCAGAAGAAAATGACTGGTTCTCTTCCTCCTTTTGCTACAGTGACTAATATCTTCCTTTCACAAATCAAGGTGATTACTAAGCACACTTCTGATTTACAGTTCATTCCACTTGCTCTCATTATATTTCAGCAATTCCCCTTTCCTTGTCTGACAGTGATCACCTGACACTGTACCACTAGAGGCCTGGGCTTTGATAGCAGCAATTGTTTTCCTCACTTCTGTGTTCTCTTCCTACTTTTTCTCCTTCTGTAGTGCAGGGTCAGCTAAGCAAATTTCAGCTCTCTTACCTGTCTTAGTCTTTCTATCTTTGGTTTTGGTTCTTTCTCACAATGACCATTGAAGGCTGAAGGCCAAGCTGAAGGTGTGGTGGGATTCGCCTGAAGTCTCAAAACCACCACTGAACTAAATTTAAACTGTTTGGTAAAATGATTTACTTGAACACAGCATATAAGTGGCACCAAAATCATTGGACACAAAGATGTCTGAAAGACCCTCTGCTTAAAAATATGTGGTCTTTTAGAACCAGAAGTTCATATTCACAAAGTTCAAGGACTGATCCTAAGCAGGCAGAAGCCATTTTGTTCCATTTGGGGAAGATCTTTATAACATGGATGGCTTCCTCTCTAAGATTCAAAAGGAATTGTTATCTCAAATGAAGTTACATTTTCATCTCATCAAGTACACTTTTGAAAAGCCTGGCAAAGACACTTATTCTGTTGTGATAGTGCTGCTTTTAAAAATCAACCATTACCTTTGGTCCTGGCCGACCAGAACCTTGAGAGCCTTTTGCCCCAGGGATTCCTTGTGGACCCTGTATACCCTGTAAAGCAAAATAAATGAGTTTTAGTGCATTATACTCTTCCACATATGAAAATCACACGTCCATCTTTCAGTTAACAACAATTTTATCTCATCTTCATAAGAAATCTTCTTTCCAAAATTAACAGAATCCAGACCTTTTGGAATGTTTCAGTTTTTCTTTATCCAACAGCTAAAGGGTGTGCTCAAGTTTCAAAGGGCTTGACATTCAGAATTTGTAGGTACTTAGCCTTGTAAAATTCTTACGTATAATATATCACCATCAAACCAATGCTATCTGATTTACCTCATATGCAAATTATTATGCAGATTAGGCCAAATTTACATTTGCTTGATTCTAAGGCCATCCAAATCAGTCAAAATTGGTTGTATTTACAAGCTTTGCTTAAAAACTAGTTTAATACTTCTAAAAATGAAAAATTACTATGAGATTTTTAATGCCTTTACATCAAAATTGCAGCTCTGAGAAAATATAAAATGAAAACTCTATGCAAATGCCCATTACATGTCCAAAATGCAGACTTACCCGGCTTCCTGGATTGCCCATTCCTGGTGGTCCTGGTGGGCCCCGTGGTCCTACTTGGCCTTGTTCACCCTATAGAAAAAGTATTCCCAAGAACTGAATTGCAACAGTTCATGCTATCTGATTAACATATTTAAACTAAACAGAGAATGGCAGTCCTCAAGTTGTATTATCTTGAAGTCTGCTGCTTCTAGTTGAATTAAATGTGTTTGGAATACCTGGAAGTCTGCCTGTGACAACTGATCTAATAAAAATAATAACCCTTCTGCCCTAAAAACGCTATCTTGTTTATAACATTAGATGATCACACCTGTAATTTTATTATTTAGAAGGATCCATAGCTCATCTTTACATACTGAGATTCTTGTACAGAAATGTAGACAGTTTCTTGCGCAACACTCAGAAGAAAACCTCGCAAGTGTAAACACAGCAGCTGCAGAGTATATTAAAAAACTAAAAATATCAGTGTTTCTTTGCCTGTTCCAGGTCCATTAGATTGGATGACTTAGAGATTTTTATATTTTAATAGTTATTTAAAAATTAAAATATTTTAAGTAGAATATTTCTGAAATTATTTTAGGAGGAAAAAAAAGTAAATTTCTTCCCATCATACTCCCAGCTGCATAGAATCCAGTCCCTTGTGCTCTAAGTTAACATTAACAGGCTCACCTACTTGTACTGATGAATACAGCCCATGAAGCTGCATGGAACAGTGTAACATAGCTCCTCAGATCCAGGTAAAATAAACCTTTGTAGAGTTGTGATATAGTGCAAAAAATTAATCTTAATTTAACTATAAATATAATTAATTATAGATACAACAATAAATATACTCCGTGCCTCACCTTGTCACCTTTGACTTGTTCACCTTTTGGTCCAGGAGGACCGCGTACACCTTCAGAGCCTTTTTCACCCTAGATATAGACAGCAGTTTTGAAACTTATATTTAGGAACTTCTAAAGAACACCATCTTAGACAAACTGGTCATCATGATAATGAGGAAAAAATATTCTTTTACAAACAAACTAGAAAAGTAATCAATGGAATTACCAATATTAGAGAAAAGAAAAGAAATTGGTTAGAACTCATAACATACTCCATCGCATTCACTGTGGTTTTGAACATAGGACTTCAAAAGGAGAAAATTAAATACTAGGAGTAAGGAAGATACATTTTGAAAGCATAACAATATGTTCACTAGTCTGAAAGATCAGTTCAGAAATGATTGCAAGGACATGACTGATGCCTTTTCCGTAAAAGGGAAAAAAATCTTTGCTTAGTAGTTCGAGGCTCTAGAGAATCTTGAAGCCACTAAAACAGAGGGATATATTTTGATGGGAAACCCAGTTATGATTTATTCATTAATCTTTGATTGTTTGTACTTATTTTTTAAAAAAGGAAAGTTGACATATATTAACCTAGCAAATGGCCTAAATGAGATAATTGTCCACAGAGACTCATACAACCCATCTTTCAGTTTCCCAAAATGGTAAGGCAAAATGAAAACAGTTGCTGAATATTTTCTTCCAATACAGAACATAAATAGCTTAGTAGTTTTTTGGAAAAAAATTTATCTCACTAATGCTATCAAAAGAAGTTATCTTTATTAAACACATAGGAGAATCATTAACTTACTACTGATAGAGGGACTGTACATTTTTTTTTCTATAATTACCTGGATAGAGTTTCTGAAATCAGTGGGATATTCAGAGAATCTAGTGATTCAGAAAACCAAGATCCATCATCCAGCATTTTATACTAGGGGAATTATCAGTGGCCTTAAATAACTTAGACACTACTGCAAACTTGGTCCACAATGTTCAAGACAGTAATTTCCATAAAACTACCTTTTGGCCTTGAATGCCCTCTCCTTGTGGACCTCTATCACCTGGTGACCCAGCAGGGCCAGGTGGTCCCTGAAAGAAAAAAAAAACATTCAAACTATACCAGAAATTCAATTTGTTATAGCAAAGTTGTCTGATTTTCAAGTACAGGATTTTGCAACATTTATGACACTGGTAAGTGAAAATGCTTCCACAATATCTGACTGAGCCCAGGCAATTAAAATGAGCTGTAGCAACCATTAGCTGGGTCATTTGGAATAGAATAAGCCAATGCTGAATTGATGTGAATTACATAATTAATGTCTAAAGACTCAGAGCATTAGTAGTACAGTGAAATTTATTCCCTGTAATTTCATATAATTTCATTATTTTCATCATAAAAATAATAAATTTGAATATATTTTTTAATACATAATGATGGGTTAAACATGCAACACTAGAGAATGTTAATTTTGATTTAAGCAAGTACACAAATAAGTATTTTTCTAACACTTTCTGTCCTCCTGCAAAATTCAGCTAACTTTCATTATTTAAAGCTAGTAAGCACTTTTTAAGGATGACCTTGATTAAACAAAAAGTTTCTACATATTTCTGTGAGAAAAATAATCTTTTACAACCACAAAGTAATTTTTAAAAATGCTATTAAAATTAATTTAACACCTATCTATATTTTGGCTTTCTGTACACAAGAGAACCATACATTTACATTTCAGGAAGAAAAAGCAACCAATAAGCATTAAATCAGGAGCTTGCCAAAGTTCTGTAATTCAGAAAATAAAGATATAATTAAAAGCATGTATGTATATATATTTGTATGTATGTATATATATATGTGTGTGTGTGTGTGTATATATATATGTACGTATGCATGTATGTATGCATATATATATTTGTTGGGGGTTTTTTTCCCCAAAACTGACTTGTATGTGGTTTTATTCTCCTGCTTGGACAAACCACGTGCAACTACTGATGTATTGGGCTGGAATAGCTTGTGCTGCTCCAGAGTGGGTACAAGGTGGTTATGGAACCAGTAGCCAGAACAACTACTGACAATCAATTACATGCACTAAGACTTATTTTGTTGCATTTCAATTCCCAATGCGTATATCACTGACTTACAGGTAATCCTGGCTCACCAATTCCAGGAGGTCCTGGTAATCCAATTTTACCTTCTCGACCTTCAGCACCCTTGTGAAAAAGAAAATTAGAAAGTTCAGTCCTAAATCAGCTTCATATTTTTGAAGAGCAAAACATTTACATATAGATTATTTAATGGTGTCACCACAAAGGCTTGAAATCTAATGAGTAACCTCTCCTAAAGGAAAAAAACCCCTATACATGACGTTTTAGAAGCATTTGAAAGACCTTTCAATTAATACTTGAAACACTAGATTGCATTCCAGCAGTCAATACATAGGGATAACTGCTTAAAATTGCAAAGCCTAAGAGATGACAGGGATGAGGGAGCTAACTCAGACTAAATTTGGCTGCAGTACCTAAGCAGGAATGCTCAGGTGTGAGGGACGCTCACACCTAGTCTATCTAGGTACTCAAATTGAAGCCTGCTTCAGTGGAATATGGGATTACATGGGAACTCCAGGAGCTGTAGAGTTTCTGCATCTTCTACTTACAAGATGTCATAATCTTCACGATTTGTCCAGTTTACTGAAGACTGTGTGCTTCAAAGGTAAGGGCACAGAGGATTTTTATCTTTCTACAGAGTGGTAAAGAGACAGGAGGTGACATTTCTTCCCCATAAACTATCTACCCTTCTAGAAGGACCAAGTGTTGTCCCTTTTATGTGTCAAAATACTGGTTTCTGAGCTCATAAACCCTCTCTGTGTTCTGGGGTCTGCCCCACTGCACAGGAAATATGTGGGAATTCAGTGAATGTACAAATTAGAACACTAAAAGCAAAAAAGTCTAAGTGGCATTTGGCTCCAAAACACAGGAAAAAGATGGCATAAAGCTACACCATAGACTTGGCACCAGAATTATAGTGAGGTCTAATTCTACCCAATTTACCTTTCTTGTCTGACTCTGAGATGCAGTTCTTTGACAAAACTCTTGTTTTGGAGACTCATGTTTTCTTAGTCAAACTAAGAAGTCATGTTTCCTATGCAGATGCTTTTGTAGTTTAATGAAAGGAGATCTGGCTGGCCAGCATAGGCAGACATGACTTTTCCAAGATTAGATTCCACCTTCTAGTCTTTTGCAATAAAATGAGATGGAGGAACTAAATGTTTCATGAGAGAATCTTACAATCCTTAAGAATGTCTGTTCCTTAGTGAATGACAAGGCAAATCTCTCACTTTACCATATATCACAGTGACTGAGATGTATTTCTATACCTTGAAATGTGGTTTACTCATTAGTGAAAGCAGCTGCTAGTGCTTGAAAATTATCTCATACAAGTAACCCCCATTTAAATGGCATTATTTCTGACTTCTGTCAATAGGATCATCAAAAAAATGCAAGAGTTGCTGGAAAAGCAGGCCTTTTATTTCCATCCTATGTTAATACAAAAAACCGTCAATCAGTTTTACATTTAGGTGCTAAGAGTTTGACTTTGATAAAACTGTAGGTGAGAAATTTCATTTAAAGAAATGACTGTCCACAGCTATCACTTTAACAAACATTCTGAGAGTTACCTTGGGTCCTGGCTCTCCAATGCCAGGGGGTCCTGCAGGACCATAGGGACCTGGAGGGCCTTGTTCTCCCTAAAGAGAAAAAATGAAAAGAAACTATTAATGTGAAGAGAAGTTTAATAAAATTCTGACAAAGTGTCTTTCCAAAGCCTCATTTAGGGCTAGAGAAATACATTTTTAAAGTAAAAATAAACACAATAAATAAATACAACAAATTGTCTTGAATAAATATGTTTATTTATATACATTTATATATGTTTAGATTAGAAGCAAGGCCAATATCCTGGCCATACAAGATCTAATAATTTTATAAAGGCACTCTTTCATATGCATCATGAAAAATAAAAAATAAAAAAAAATAAATTTTGTCCTATTTTTGGTCCTGACTTCATCTAATATTGGTGCTTCCACAGACTTTGCTTGATAGAAAGATGTATTGGAAACAGAAAGGGTATTTGGAAATGAAGCAGTGCTTAAGCTTCCAACATTGCACTCAAGGTTCTTGCCATAACAACAAATGCACACATAGCATGACTGTTGTTCCTACTGCTATCTTTGCAGCTCTTTACTCTCATCCTCTCTTCTGTATACTGTGTTCCCAACAAAGCCAACACAGCCACACAGTTACTAATTTTTTTTTATAAAAATGTGTTTATTTTGTGGGAAGGTGTTAATTTTTAGGGGATTGAAACTTTTATTTACACAGAAATCTCATATACTGAGTTCTGCAACATTTCAATAAGAATTTTGTACTTGAGAGGTCAATAGAAATATAAAAAATTACATTTCCTCACAAAATCAATCAGTTTTTAATCAGCCAAAGAATGAAGCTAAGATGCAGAAATGGAAAGATACAGCAGTGGTAAATAAACAGACTATCCTTGAAGCTTAATTTCTGATAACTATGCACTTATAATGCTACTGCTGCAGCTTTAAATCCAGAATAACATGGAAATTGATGCCCAGACTTAAATTCATTCTACTACAGAAGAGTATAATAATCTAGAAATAGTTATGAAATTTAAAACTTATTCAAAATGCAGAATTTGCTGGCACATCTTCATAATCTAATAAATTAATACAGCCCCAGGAGAAGTTATGTCTTAGAAGGCAGAAAGAAATCAGACAAAACTGCTATCAGTCAGGGAATAGAATATCTCCACATAGGATACCGACAGGGTATTAGCAACATAGATAACTATTGCAGAAACACAGAACATAGCTAAAAGGTTGACTGTCTTCCTAGGCAGAAGGAAGACAGAAAATAACAATATTTTCATGAAACCTTTGGACCAGAGGCACAATTCAGTTCATCCATATACAGATTATCATAATGCCATTTTTACTGATATAAAGCCAATTGAAAATTTACCAGTTTTCCTTATACCCTTATACAGGGTTTTTCCTGATGTGTTTGTTTGAAATTGATCAAACAACAACAACAACAATTCCTCAAACAACCCATCTTCTACCCTTCTTGCAGCCTGGTGCCCATGAAGTTTTGCCTTTCAGCCCATATGCTCCCTTACCTCAGCACCAACTCTGGCTTCAGTACCTTTCCACTTGACAAGCCACATTAGCAGGTTCAGGCCCATGCAGCTTCAGGGCCTGGAGACAGTCTGGGATGAACAGGGATGGATATACCCAGTGCAAGAGGTGGCACAGAGAGAAGGGAACAGGCACAGGCTGTTGTAAGGCAAGGCATTATGCTTAGTATTGTCTGCTCCAATTCACAATCCAATTCACATGTTCCTTTCATGGAGAAGGCAGACTGGGATTTCTGTCGTGCCAGGATGTATGAGCATGCAAAATATGTTAAAAAAAAAAAAATCTGTCAGGTAAAAAAACATTTCAGCTGTACACAGCACCACTATGCCCTGAGCACAGCAAATGCCACTCATTTTATCAGCTGATAATACTAAACCTCTGAAATGGTGTAGGAACTTGCTGCATGCTGAAAAATGAAATTTGATAAATACAGACTCATCTTTCAGCTGAAACAATAAGCCAACACCCTTTATTGTGCTTAGAAAGTGCGCTACTTTTTTTTTCCTGTCACTCAAATGGACACTGTGTTTCCTGTCTATGTTGACAGTCCCTGACAGAATTTCCCAGGAACAGTAACTCTGAGGGATGCTTCCTTTCACAAATTATTAATATCTTTGCAAGTTCACCCACATGATAGGGCCATGCCATGAACGCAGGTGGGAGTCCTGCTGAAGTCATTCTTTTTCCAAAAGCTCTGTTTTTTAACCATGATAAAAACATTACACAGTTTTCCTTCCAAGAATTGGTGTCATGTGCCTTGCAAGAGCTGTTGCTGTAGGTATGGGACTGGTAGGTGCTAGAGTAGGGAGTATAAGAAGCCCCTGTGATGAAAGTCGTATAAGATAGTATGAAAATGTTGTACTATGAAACACTTTTTTATGGATAGAAGAGGATGCCTGAATACTAATGGAGAAAGAAACTCAACCTTCTATCAGACAACACACAAAACTTGCAAACTTAAATGATTCAGTCTATTTTAAAGACTGAATGTTTCAAACTTCAAATGGTTATTAAGAAATCTGGGTTTTATGTTTTGTAGTCTTGGTGCTACAGGTAATGTGGAATTTATAAAAACCATGAAGTTCTGGCAATAATATCACATTATGTCTACATGTAGAGAAAAGTCTGCTTTTCCAAGAAGCTTTTTGGTAATATTTTTTTTTCATTTAACTCTTTGCTCACTTTCTTTTTTCTTTCCTTACTGGGATTTTCCTTCAGGTGGCATGTAATATCATCTGGAGCAATAGGAAGGAAAAGTACACTTGATCTGAGCTGAATATTTTTACAAATTGAAATTGTACCATTTTAAGCCTGGAATCCAAAAACCTCACCATCT